GTTTGAGCATGTATATTGACCAGCCTGCTGTGGCTGCTTTTGTGTGGAATAAAGCATGTCCCGTTTGCCTGCCTGCACATGTGTATTCCAATTCTGCCACCCAGGAAGGTTAAGTCCCTAACTAAGGAGCTTGCACCTGATAGGTGCCTTGCTGGAAGTCATGTCCAACAAATTCCAAATATATCAATACTAGTGGCCCAGTGTATGAATTCATGCACAATGGAAGGAAATTCTATAATAGAACTGTCAACTAAATTCACAATCGACAATGACAGAATGAAGCATACACAACCAGTGAGAGCTTTACGGTATATGTATTACTCATGTGCAAATCAAGTTAGCCTTTTATAGATATAGAATAAACTTGCTTTATTAGAAGTGCTTTCTGATTTAGCTAAACTTTTTCCAGCCCAGTGAAACATCCCAACTTCTCTTTCAGGTAATTGTCCACAGTAAATATCAACATGAAGCAGATTATTATTGTAGATCATGCAGGGAGAACAAAGGGTAAACTATTTCACTGCAGCAGTGTTTGACTATATTCTTCACAGTGAGAAAACGTAGTCATTTTCAAGGTCCACCACTTCTTTTCGTTTGCTGGCTAATGAAAATAGGATTCTACCTAGTCTCCTATCTACCTACTCCAGGACTTCTGTGAGGATCAAATGAAATGAGGCACAGGAAAATGCTTCACAGACGTTTGTTTAAAGTGTGAAATGTTTCCACCTGATTATAAAGCAAGTCATGTTCCTGGGCTAAAGAAACTCCAAGGAGGCCTATAGCTAAGGAGAAGAAGCCAGGTGCTGCTACATGATGTCATTACCCAGATGGACACTTAGCATATTAGTCTGATAGATAGATAGATAGATAGATAGATAGATAGATAGATAGATAGATAGATAGACAGATGATAGATATATCATTGGCTTGGTATTTAATATATTCATATACCATTGGACTGATATTTGATATAGCAGCAATTCATTGTCCTGCAAGAGAGGCTGAGAAATATTGTTGGGCACTCTGCTGCTCAGAACAGACTCAGAATTCCTATTATTAAAAGAGGATATCGACTACAAGTTAGACAACTAACAGCCTCTGCCATAGAAAGCATTACTCAATGCCCATTATGAGCACTTTAGCTATTGAAAGTTATTTTATCATGAGGTTCTATAAAATGACTCAATACATTGAACAGCTGATTCTAAGATGGTCATTTGCCTCTTCTGCAGACTTTGTGCAGGTTTAATACACATGAAATCTACATCCTTACACAGTACCTCTGGCATGTTCAACAAGCTGGGCACTATAACAGGGGCCAGATATTTGATCATCACATGGACTGATTTTTGTGGCCTCTGCAACTGGGCTTCACAATCAGTCCATTTGTCCTCCTAAAATCCAAGATCCCTGCTTATTAACAAGATTAAAGAAGAGAATGCCATGTTAATTCTCCATCCTTCATCCACTGGAGTGCTGACATGGCACCAAAAAATTAAAGTAATTGTGCTTCTTAAAAAACATAACTAGACATGAGGATTCTGTCCTTATCTTGTTGCTCATGCTCTCTCAGCTCTCTCTCCCCCTTCCTCCCTCTCTCAAACTGCTTTATTACTAAGCAGGAATTCTCAATTGAAATCCTCATTCTCATTAGGAGTCTGCATTTGGTTTCACAGCTGTTGATGTTGAGGACATCATGTCTAATAGGACTTGGTGGTCTGGATTTCAATTATATTCTCACCTATTCTGCTTCTGTACTGATTACTTAGATGAGCTATGTCTAGAGTGTCTTTCACTTGGTGGTGTTTGAGATCAGACATAGCCCATCTCCTGGTTCATTGTAGCTGACTTCTTAAGCTTGGGACCCATCCTCCTCTAGCTGCCCAGGCTGAAGCTGACTGTTGCAACTGGACTTTGAACTTCTTGGTATGAATATTTTTTCTTCAGCAGCTATGAGTGACTATGTGATGAAAAAGGAATGCAGCCTGTCCACGGTATCAGTGGAATATCAGGGCCAGACCAAGGAATCTTAGTCATCAATACAATTAAAGCAAAGATAAAACACCAGCACCCTAGAAACAAGAACAGTTAGGTGACAGGTTGGTCCACTAGAGGTCAGGTTAGAGGGAGTAGAGACAAAGGTCAGGAAGCCTGAGTCTTTTGGAGCTGAAGTGAAGAACAAAAATATATAACCCAAATCAGAACTCCATGTAGAACGAACTAAGAGCTATTAACACAACAGTGTAAAGTATTTGCAGTTCTAAATCAATATTGGCTTGATGTTTACTTTCATAATTATAGAAAGTGTATTTGGTTTGGGACTGAAATTCTCATGACTAGATAGATATTTGTTAATTCAGTGCTCAGATTTTCTCTACCACACTCTCTTTGTTTCAAAGTTCCCTAGCATAGCAGAAACTTTCCTTTTAAGAGTTGATTTGTGGAGTACTATTAAATATGTGTGGTAAGTATTCAATTCTTTTACAATTTAGATAGGGCTTATTTAAGCACCAGAGAGATTATTTCATTTCCTTCAAACTAATTTCAAAGTATTAGTCTAAATCACTACAAACAGTACCAAGTATTCCGCCTTTTGTCTTAAGAATGCTGGCATACTTCTAATTTGGCCAATTTCTGATTCCAAGATTGGGTCCTACTAATGATCATTAGGTGAAATTAAAACCTTAAAATTTAAGACCTCTACTACTACATGCCCTATTGTGAGATACCAATTAAAAGGTAAAATGGCCCTTTTTTCAGAATTTTAAACCGGAATTGGAACAGTATTTCACTCTTTTTTTTTTTTTTTTTTTTTTTAATCCCTTTGCTGGTGAGGCTCAGTTAATTGGGTGTCATCACATGCACCTGCCCATTTGATGCCTGGTCAGGGAATGTGTCCCGTTGTAAGTGATGTTTCTCTATCTTCCTCTCTCTCTAAATATCAATTTTCAAAAAAAGATGTAAGAGGCAAAATTATAGAAAAATCCTCTGAATACCAAATTTAAAAAGAAAACAAAGAACTATTGATGCCTTCAACTTAGTTTACCTCTATGCTAAAAAATCTGTTAAAATTCTGAACTCTAGTCTCATCTTGCTGACATTGCCAGAATATCTTAGGGAAATATTTGATCCTCAATTTACTTTTAACAAAGCAGTAAATGAAAGATTTAGAACTCTGAGACAGTCACCAGCCAAAAGGTTACCAATAATCCCTTTTTTCTATGTAACATTAAGTATTATCAGGTATTATTTACTTCAACAGAATGTTGCTTCAAAAGTCCACACATGAAAAGTCTTCCCTGCCACTCATCTGCTCGAAGAAAGGTGGAATAATTGGTACTCAACAGGGACATTAGTAAGTTGAGGTTCACCTTAAACAAATGCCTAGAGTCAAAGTTATTTTACTTGATAAAATAAAAATATTGGGCTAGACCCAGGGAATAGATTTTGGAGTCAGTCATGTGGGATCACATCAAGCCAAATCTTTATTTTATATTCAGGAACACTTAAATTGAGGAGCAATTTCACATCCTGCATAAGACAAAGATTGGCAGAAGAGTCATTTGGAAAGAATGGCCTAACAGTAATATTCAAAATATAACCAACAGCTATTGGTATTAACCAAATATTGAGTTTACTTTTCTAGTCTCTTTGTTTATGAGATGTGGATAGAAGTGATAGCCATTAAAATATTCTACAAAATCCTCCAGTTTTCTCTTCTATGATGACTTTGGAGTAGACAGACTCATCAGGTTTTATGTGAGAAATGAATGTTTGTTTACTGGGGAGTTTACTTGTGATGACATCATAGCATAACTCTCTTCCATGGTGAAGAAGGAAGAACTGGAATCAGAAAGTGACTACAGCAGTAATGGGACCCTTTGATGATAAAGGTGTAGGCTAGATTGAAAGAATTCAAAGAAAGGATGTGAATCTAGTAGGTGTTTTAAATGGAACTGGGTAAGAAGAAAAGTCATTCATTCAGGTAAATATTTATTGGGCACCTATTATTTGCAAGGCACTGGGAGTTACAAAGTGCTTACAATTTAGTTAAGTAGATAATACACGTACATAAATTATAAAACCAACTTTATAGCATAATGGTGAGAGGAATAGATTTTGAAGGTAGACCTGTATTCAAGAACTGGTCTCACTAGCGGTCACCTTGGGCAACTTATTAAATCCCTCTAAACTCCAGTTTGTTCACCTGCAAAATTCAGGTAGTAAGAGTACCTATTAATAGGGTTTTTTAAAAAATATATTTTTATTGATTTCAGAGAGATGGAAACATCAAAAATGAGAATCACTGTTTGGCTGTTTCCTGCATGCCCCCTTACCGGGGATTGAGCCCACAACCAAGGCATGTACCCTGACCAGGAATTTAACCAGAACCTCCTGGTTCATAAGTCGAGGCTCACCCACAGAGTCACACCAGATAGGATTATATGAGAGGACCAAATAATCTCCTTGCAGTTGAGTGTTTACCCCATAATAAGTGCTCAATAAGTGCTAGCTATTAGTAGTATCACTATGAAAGAGATCTAAAAGTTGGGACACCCAAAAAGATCAGTGTGCAAAAAAGCTCCAAGGGAGAGGGACTGACAGTTATAAAAAGAACTATTTGAGAAACCACAGTCCTACTCTGATATAATTTTGTCTTTCCCTTTCTATGATAGCCTCAGTTATTTAAAGTGCAGCGACACCAGGGACCTCAGATAAGAGGTGTGTCTGAGGATCACCTCCTAACATTTATCCTGCTGTCTGAGAAATGTCTGCAAAATGTTGATTCTTTACAATTGCACCCTAATTTCCAGCATCCCACATCTGTTTTATAACATGGTATATAGTTTTTATTCAAACACTGTGGTAGCAGAGGCAGGTAAGGAGAACAGTTAGCCAGAATAGGTAGAATGATCAATTGATCAATTTAAGATGAGAAAGACCTATTTTAAGTTTTCATGGAGGTCCTTTGACTAAAACTTTCACTCAATTCAGTCTATTCACTGTTTGGCATAGCGCCGTTGATGTTGAATAACTGATGACTTAGAACTAAACACTTTTCCACATACGCTGCATTCAAAGGGTTTCTCTCCTGTATGAACCCTCTGATGCCGTGTAAGCCTGCTTCTCTGGCTAAAGGCTTTCCCACATTCACTGCATTCATAGGGTTTGTCTCCAGTGTGAATCTTCTGATGCTGTGTAAGGGATGAGCGGTCAAAGAATGCTTTCCCACACTCACTGCACTGGTAGTGAGGGTCTCCAGCATGAGCTTTTTGATGTCTGTTCAGCGATGAGATACCATAGAAGGCTTTCCCACACTCAGTACATTCATAAGGCTTCCGGCCAGTATGGATGAGCTGGTGTCTAGTAAGAATGCTTTTCTGGCTGAAGGCTTTCCCACACTGACATTCATAAGGAGTTTCTCCAGTATGAATTCTCTGGTGTCGAGTGAGGGATGAACGGTCAAAGAAGGCTTTCCCACACTCGCTGCATTTAAACGGTTTCTCTCCAGTGTGAATTCGCTGATGTACAGTTAGGGATGAACGGTCAAAAAAGGCTTTTCCACATGTGCTGCATTCGTAGGGGCTTTCCCCAGTGTGAGACATCAAATGTCTGCTGAGACTGCACCTACGACTGAAAGCTTTCCCACACTCACGGCATTTAAAGGGCTTCTCTCCAGTGTGAACTCGCTGATGTACAGTTAGAGCTGAACGGTTGTAAAAAGCTTTCCCACACTCATGACAATCATAGGGCTTCTCTCCCGTGTGAGTCTTCTGGTGGCGGATAAGGGATGATTGATCAAAAAAGGTCTTCCCACAATCACTGCATTCCTGGTCTCTGTCTTTAGTGAGAATTTTCTTGGGACTGGTTAACCCTTGCTGCAAGCTTTCCTCCTGGGAAAGGGATTTCTTACAAGTCTCCACTGTAGGACTTTCCTTCTCTGTTTCCAACCTACCTTCTAGTGCATGAACTTCCAATTTAGTACACAGAGGACTTTTTCTTTCAAGCTTTTCCACTGAAATTTCTTCTGACTTTTCTTCTGAATCACTTTGAGTCTCACCTTGAATCTTGGGCTTAGTCTCCCAGTCTGTAATGGACAGAAAACAGAGATGCAATTTCTTTCCTGGGATAGAAAATATTACAGCAAAAAGAAGAGGTACTATGATAAATCTGAAAAGTAATATGGTCATTGCATTGCTTGCTCTGCAAAGAGCTACACAATTTAGGTAAAGACTGAGATTTGGAAATAAAGAAGGAAGCAGGAATAGAACTGATGTTGGACATCTTAGAAAAGAATGCCAAGGATAATTATGAGAGTATGCAAAGTGGGAAGGATGGTGAGAAATAGAAATATCAAATTGTGAGTAGGCAACTTGACAGATCTGAGAGTAGCATTTGGTGAGAAAAAGATGAATAATACCAGCCCCAACTAGGTGGCTCAGTTGGTTGGAGTGTTATCCTGTGCACCAAAAAGGTCGCAAGTTTAATTCTGGTCAGGACACATACCTAGGTTGCAGATTCAATCCCCGGTCAGGGCACGTATGGGAGACAACTGATCAATGTCTCTTTCTCACTATAGTATTTCTTTCTCTTTCTCTCTCCCTTTCTCTCTCTTTAAAATCAGTAAACATATTCTCAGATGAGGATTTTTTTTTTTAAAAAAAAAAGATGAATAATAGCTTTAAATGTCAAAAAATTAAAACTTGGTGGGCGATAGAGAATAGCACTAACCTGGCCAGAGTGGCTCAGTGGTTGAGCACCAACCTATGAACCAGGGATCATGGTTTGATTCCAGTCAAGACACATGCTGAATAACTGATGGGTTGTGGACTCAGTCCTCAGTAAGGAGCATGCAGGAGGCAGGCCATCAGTGATTCTCCCTTATCATTGATGTTTCTATCTCTCTCCCTTCCTCTCTGAAAACCATTATATATATATTTTAAATATATTTTATTGATTTTTTTACAGAGAGGAAGAGAGAGGGATAGAGAGTCAAAAACATCGATGAGAGAGAAACATCAACCACCTGCCTCCTGCACACCCCCTACTGGGGATGTGTCCGCAACTAATGTACATGCCCTTGACTGGAATCGAACCTGGGCCCCTTCAGTCCGCAGACCGACGCTCTATCCACTGAGCCAAACCGGTTTCGGCAAAAAAAAAGAGAGAACAGCACGAAAGTAGAAGATCTAAATTTGAGAAAATGGTGGTAGCCAATGCTCCCTCCCTCAAACCCCCAAATACCCACAAAATAAAACAAACTCTGTTCATATGCAGTTACCTAGAGAAATGTTCTTTGGCCATGTTCCTTCATGAGGTCCATGAAGATCAATTATCCAAGGTTTATCCTCTCTCTTCAACTGGAAAATCACATCAGGTTGAGGAACTGGAAGTCCTGCTCATGGAGAAAGACAGAAGCCAGGTATGGGACAAATATACACAACCACTCCAAAGTTTCATCCCAGCCTCTAGGACTTTCAGAGAGAAAACACAGAAGGCAGACCCTGTGTGCCAAGAATGCAGAATACAAAGTAATACAGAGAATGCAAGGACATCTGGATAGAGGTCAACACTACTAGTAAGGTTCTAAAAGGGATCGCTACATTTGGTCAAGAAGTCGGTAAAATCCCCTTGAATGAATATGTTTATTCTTTCTTCAGAAGTAAATGGGCTTTAGCACTGGTAGGATGGGTGGGAACAGTCCTTACTCAAGGAAGATAAGAATGAAAGCATAGCCGAAACCGATTTGGCTCAGTGGTAGAGCGTCGGTCTGCGGACTGAAAGGTCCCGGGTTCGATTCCGGTCAAGGGCATGTACCTTGGTTGCGGGCACATCCCCGGTAGGGGGTGTACAGAAGGCAGCTGGTTGATGTTACTCTCTCATCGACATTTCTAGCTCTCTATATCTCTCCCTTCCTCTCTGTAAAAAAATCAATAAAATATATTTTTTTTAAAAAAAAGAAGAATGAAAGCATAATCTTGAGTAAAAAAATCTAATGAATTTTTATTTGTTTATCCTTTAGTGATAAATTAATTTAATTATATCAGTCATGTTCACTGTAGGAAAATTATAGGTATACACTTTGTATTCTTGTTTTAAATTTTCTGTTCATTTCAGTACAGATATACTATGTTAAAAACTGCATAATGAAAATGTTGATTTGTAAACTTGGTATTTCCACGTAACAACAAATTTAAAAATTATTTCAATTAAGCACAAATCTACCTCACCATTTTAATGGCTACCCGATACTATATTGTATGGAATAATATAATTATTTAATCTCCTGCTGACAGATATTTCAGACTGTTTTTAATGTTTTTCTATTTAAAAAAAAAAACAATATAATAAACATGTATGTACAGCATGGACTGCTAATCCTATTCTTTCCTTGGGACCCATTTCTAGATGTGAATCTATCCATTTTTTTATTTAACCCTCGCTCACGGGTATTTTTCCATTGATTTCTAGAGAGAATGGAAGGGAGGAGGAGGGGAAGAGAGAGATGGACAGGAGGGAGAAGAGGGAGAGAGAAATCAGTGTGAGAAAGACACATCAATTAGTTGCCTCCCACACTTGTCCCACAGGAGCTGGGGAACCTGAAACCTAGGTAACTTGTTTTTTTCTGTTCTGAACAAGGCACCTGCCCTTGATGGGGAATCGAACCCGTAACAATTCAGTCCAGGCAGGGCTGAACTTATCCATTTTTTGTTATATAGATTTCACTCCTAGAAATAGTCTTGAGGTCTAAACTTCCTTTGCATTGCACCCCCAACTTGGGAAAGAGAAGCACTTTCTTACTAGACCCATGGATCATGTATCCAGTTGTATGTTGATTCTCTGCTGACAAAGAGGCCACATCCATCACCTCCCTGTGGCTTCTGATCTGATGAATTCTATATTCCTGAGAATTTCATCCCACCAAAGCCTCTGATAAAGGCTTAGCAGTCCATGAACACTGTTCTGTTTTCCATATTTAACCTGTTTAAACTAATCCAGGGGTGCTTTTTTTAGTGAAACGTGCAATCTGACTCCTCTATTAGCACCTGCTGTTGACTGCAAGCCTGGTTCTGAGTCTGTGCATCTCTCAGCCTCTTATTCTGGAAGCTCCTGAGATGTCTCATCACCTGCAAGAGTCTAACTTTACTTCTCAAGAATATCTGACATCAGCAGTAATTCTTAACTTTCCCTTTGTCATGAAAGTCTCTAATTGCAGAGTTCCATCTATGGGCATCGAAAATACATTTAAGACAAATATTCAAAATCAAACACATTTCTAGTGACCTACTGTGAGGCACAATCTTGTATTCCCACCTCACCCCACCCCCACCCCCACCCCACCTTCTTTTAAAGTGAAACATATCTCTCCTCTGCTTCTCTAAGGAGAACTTTCCTTCAACAAGCTGGCTCCTCGCCTCACGCTTACTCTGGATGGAGCTGAGTAAGTTACCTGACTGATAAGCTGGGGGAAGAGCAGGCATAAATAACTTGGCCTCTTGTCTGTCCCTTCTGGAGAGCCAGCTCCCTATAGCAGATACACGTCTGGTCTGCTCCTTAGGGCTCTCTGTGCTGCAGGGCCAGACTACTGAGTGAGGGAGCCTGTGCTGGTCCCTGCTTAAGATTCAAGGAGCTGGGGCTCAGGATTAGGAAGCCCACTGTCACTGTACACCTAAGCCTTACACTCTTCTATCTTGTCTCTCAGTGGTTCAGAACTCAGGTGGAAGAAAATGTATCAATTTATTAGCCTCTCAATTCATTTTAGCGCAGTACAGAGACCAGCTACTTAAGGGAAGCTCTCCTTACCCAGTGAAATGATGCTCTGATAGTTTTCCAGCATCACCTCTTTGTAGAGGTCCCTCTGAACAGGGATCAGATGCCTCCACTCTTCATCTGTGAAAATCACGGCCACATCCATGAATGTCACTGACTCCTGGAAACACAATCACATTCTCCCTTACTCATAACCCTTCATTTTACATGGACCAGATAAAAGTGTCATAAAGACAGCCCTGGAGGTTATGAAAGGTGGGGAAGGAAATGGTTCTGACAAAATAACACTTGGGAAAGTAGCATCATTCCCCTTGGTCATAATCCCACACCACCATAGTCACAGCTGAGCTCTGAATATCAAGGCTCTTTGTGAGACTTACAGGAAACTTGCAAAAAAGAAACAAAGAATTCCCATGGGTCCTTCACCCAGCTTACCCAAATGTTAATATCTTCCATATTTGCTTTATCTCCCTGTCTCTCTGGAGAAGACATTCCATATTCTTCCTGAACTTAAGAGTAACTTGCAAACATGTTGTCCCTTTACTCATTAATATCTTAGTATATATATTTTGTAAAAACAAGGGTATTTGCTTTTATAATCACAGTATAATTATAAAAATCAACAAAATACCATTGACATTTTACTATTATCCAATCTACAACTTTGTTCAAACTTTATCCATGGTCTTTTTTTTTTTTTTACATATCCTTAAAACAGTGATGTTGATTAGATCATCTTTAGGATCCCTCTCATTTTACTCTAATGTTCCGTGATTCTGTTAGATTTCATCTTTACTCCTCATTCTAAAACCCCATATGAGCCTTCGGTGTGTCTGCAAAAGTTTTGAGCCAGAGCAGGTCATTCAAGACCCTACACCTTTGCGTGAGAAGGCGGCAAGCACATGACTGTTCCCACCACACGGTCCTCAGGACTCATGACTCACTGAGGCGCGCTCACTACCCAGCCTACCTCAGCACTCCCTGGACTGTTTGGGGTCTGCTTTTAGTCCATACAAACAGAAGTCAGGACTAAACTGGCCCATTGTTCCCCAAACCTTCCAATCAGACCCGTACATTCATTTTTTAGGCAAAATCACTCAAGCGAAGGCCACAGGGGCTGTGTGTCTGATGACAGGCTAATGGGATCACAGCACACATTCAAGACAAGAAAAGGCCACTGAAGGACACCACAAGTCAAATGGGAAGGAAGCACTCCTTATGGAATCGTTTATCCACCTGGTGGGTCTGATAAAAAAAAAAAGCTCCAGGACAGAGAAAGAAAAGGGTTAAAGTATTTCTACATCACCTGGCATCTGGCAGCTGGAGCCACAGCAGCCACTCCCTCCTGGGTGCTCTCCATTAGGAAAGGCAGAGTCCTAAGGCAGGAAAGGTGTGGGGTGAGAAAGAAAGTATGAGAAAGACCATCTTTTTATAGATTTCTGAGCCAGGAAGCAAGAACTCTCCATATATCACTACATTATATATTCATCCTCAACTTAATACCCTATACAAAGGGAAGGAAAGTAAAGCAAGGCCCCAGAACCAAAGCAAAGGGCATGGATACAGCTAGTTAAAGCACAATATGGTGTTTGTTTGACCATAATCCTAGAGGCAGAGTTTTGTTCCTCTGTGTCAAAAAAAGATTAAGGTTCATACTGTACTTATAAATTCACATTCAATACTGCCTGGAATGGTGCCTGGCTGGTGCCTGGTTGTGTGTCTGCTTATGAATCAGGAGGTCATGGTTTGATTCCCGGTCGGGCACATGCCAGGGTTGTGGGTGCGATTCCAAGTAGAAGGCATGCCACCAGGCAACCAGTCAATGATTCTTTCATCATTGATGTTTCTATCTCTTGCCCTCTTCCTTCCTCTCTGAAATCAATCAATATATATATCCTGAATGGTTACTGGATAAAAAGCATAAGAAATTTTATAAATGACTACATGTATATGTCAAGTAAATACCCAAAGCCTCTTCAAGGGAAAAATACCCTATTTATAATCCTGTGCTCAAGGATGTGGGCAGCCACGCTGAGCAGGCCACAGGTGGGCTATGTACAGGCTGATTAGCAGATTGAAATGTGATTGACTTGAAGAGATGACATCCTTCCTCATGAATGTAAACTAAGAGATGACAGGTGCTAACGGAAAGGATGTGATGGACAGAAGTAGCTATGATGATTAGAGGAGCCAAAGTTATCAGGAAGCAGCACCCATGAACATCTGGGAGGTTAGGGGAGCCTAAGTTACCAAGAAGCAGAATCCATGTGTGTGCTGGAGGTAGGACTAGACAGAGTCAGGGGGAAGAGCAGCTCAGTTGCATTAGTGACAAAGCACTGAAGCAAAGATCCAAGAATTCCTAGCCCCTGGGCTCCAATTTGCATAATGTCCAGCCTTATTTATTTTTGGATGTCCAAAGACCACAACCCTCTTAGGCTTCGTGTGAACCCTTACCACTACTCTCTTTAGTTAAGTACGTCTCAATTTCTTACAATCAAAGGTCTAATTAACACAGAGAGATCAAACATTGCTGGGATTTAAGAGTGGGATGAGAGAGACTGTGGTCCTGCCAAGGAGGAGGAAGAGGTATGGCTTGCTGATTGCTCTCCTGCAGTCAAGGAAGTATGTTAACTGATCCTTATTTTTCATTCATCCATTCATCCAAACACATATTCAGCCCTAACTATTGATACCAAGCCTCAGCACCATATGACACCTTCCTTGTCCTCTAAAAGCTGATAGCCTAGCACATAGGACAAACAAGTAACCAAAATAATATTTCACTTCAGAATGGCTAACTGTAAACAGTTATGCACAGCAAACTATGTGAGCACATGAGGTTTGCCTAACCCAGATGGAGGGAGAGAGAACAGGACAGGTTTCTGGGCAGAAATGGGACCTAAGATAAGCTGTGATTTGTAGGAGAAGATTCTAGGCAGGAAAAACACCTAGTTTTCAAAAACAAGCAGGCATGTCTTTACATGGAAAGGGTTGACAACTGCAACTACTTTAGAATGGCAGATGTCTAGCTGCAAGCAGAGCTGTGGGAAAGGATGAGGATGGAGAAGCAGGCAGCAGCCAGCTGGACCCAGGAGAGCTTTGTACGGTCCCTTTTCTATGGCATGGGGATCACTGAAGGATTTAAGCATGGAAGCGTCATCATTAGATTTTAGAAAGATCATTGCAATTTGTATCAAGGGCCTGGAAATATACATATTCTTTGATCAGCAATTCTTCCCTAGCTTATCCCAAGGAAATAAGTAAAAATATATGCAAAGCTTTGTCTTAACCATCGTTTATACTAACCTTTATTGAGTGCTATGTGTGGAAAACTTCTAAGCATGTAATCCTTAAAATAATTCAGAAAAAAATTTGAAATATCCTAAATTTCTATAATAAATAGAAAATTTGATTAATTTGTGATCCAGCTTATCTATACAATGTAACACCATTAAACATCTTATGTCCTATATAATAAAGAGGTAACATGCAAATTAACCCTCAGGCCCTCACAAGATGGCTGCCTACATACGACCAGGCCAGCAGGGGGATTAGTGAGGGACAACCAAATAACTGAACAGCAGGCTATGTGGGGCAATCAGGCCAGCATGTGTAGGGGGGTGGGGGGACAGTTAGGAGTGACCAGGCCAGCAGAGGTGGGTGGGCAGTTGGGGGCAACCAAGTTGGCAGAGGGGGGGCAGTTGGGGGTGACCAGGCTGGCAGGAGGGGGGAGTTAGGGGACCAGGCCAGCAGGGGGGGCAGTTAGGTATGATCAGGCTGGTAGAGGAGGACAGTTAAGGGCAATCAGGCTGGCATGCAGAGGCAGTTAGGTGCAAACAGGCAGGTGAGTGTTTAGAAGCCAGTGGTCCAGGATTGTGAGAGAGATGTCTAACTGCCAGTTTGGGATTGGGCCTAAACTGGCAGTCAGCCAACTCTGAAAGGGTTCCGGATTGAAGAGGGTGCAGGCTGCACTAAAGGGACCCCCTATGCTCAAATTTTGGGCACCAGGCCTCTAGCCATATTAATAACTAGCATTTTTATTTTTTTTTAATTTTTATTTTTTTAGCATTTGCTACTGACCAGGAACTGTGCTATCTTTTAATAAAAATGTCTTTATTGTACAGAGATTAAAAACTGCTAGAAGACCTGGGTTCAAATTTTACCTCAGCCTTTTACAAAGCCTAAATTTCCTAAACTGCAACACAGTACATACCTTATTGATTTATGAGGATGGAATTAAACTATCATTATAAGGAGTATTTAGTATAATGCCATTCCTGGATCTCAGTGTTTCTGGAGAAAACACTCTTCAAATTCTTATTCTTATTCTATATCTTCAAATGAGCTCTTGCCTAAAAGTTTTTACTGTTCTTATCCTAGCTCCATAGCTACTCCAAACCTTCAATTTTAGCAGAGCACTGTCTTTACTATTCTGAGCTTCACAAAGTAAGTGCCAAGGGAGGCAGAACCAGGAGGTAGAAAGCAACCACAGACCTGGAATTATTATTGATTACTTATGCTAACAGCTGAACCCAGTTGTTTAATGCTTACTTCATGGAGTAGTTGTAAATAGTGAGACAATTAATGTAAAGCATTTATCATACAGCTTGTTCAATTAATGAAAGCTCCTTTCCTTTCTACTGCACGATACAAACCCATTCATCCTATCAGCCAATGAATATTATGCACTAGGCCCGTGGTCGGCAAACTGCGGCTTGCGAGCCACATGCAGCTCTTTGGCCCCTTGAGTGTGGCTCTTCCACAAAATACCACGGCCTGGGTGAATCTATTTTGAAGAAGTGGCGTTAGAAGATGTTTAAAAAATTTGGCTCTCAAAAAAAATTTCAATCATACCGTTGATCTTTGGCTATGTTGACCAATGAGTATGCCGACCACTGCACTGGGCAGAAAGGGAGTGAGGTCAACAAAACAGAAATGTCTGCATCTCTAGGACTTTACCTTAGTATCTCACAACTGTCTATGTTCTTTTCCACAATTGTTCTTGCGAAGAATCAGCTCCCTGCATTACCCAGTTTTTTCTCTCCACATCTCTCATCTCTCCAGTACCTTCTTCCCTTATGTTCAAACAGATACAGTCCTCCTCTATCTGAAACTATCTTCACTGAATCTCATGGCCTCCCTCTAGCAAAATAATTCTCATTTAGGTTTTCCTTTCACGACCAAACTTCTTGGATGAGTAATATATCCCTATCTATTACACATCACCACCACCTATTCTCCTTCTTTTCTTTTCTTTCTTTTCTTTTGGTAATCCTCACCAGAGGATTTTTCCCCCCATAGATTTTTCTTAGACAGAATGGAAGGGAGGGGGAGAAGGGGAAAGAATATAGGTAGAAAGGGAGAGGCATATCTATTGATTGCCTCCCGCACGTGCCCCACTGGGGTCAAGGATTGAACCTGCAACCCAGGCTTGTGCCCTTGACTGGGGACTGGGAATTGAACCCGAGACCCTTGGGTGCACGGGATGACACTGTAACTACTTAGCTACATCAGCCAGGCACCTATTCTTCTTGAATCCTTATTCTGCTCGTGCCACCCTTCACACACCTGAGACTGCATGCTTGAAAATTAACAATGCCTTTCTGAGCTCTAATCCCAATAATCCTTCTCTCCTTATCTATTTCTCTGCAGCTTTTGATTGTTTTGACAAGTTTCTACTTCTCTAAGTTGCTGATACTGCACTGCCCTGGCTTTCTTCCTCCCACTAACACTGCATCTTTCTGCAACTCTTTTTCCCAATCTTGCCCTGGGAACAGGGATGCTGTGCAAGGCTCAGCCTTTGTACAATGCTCTTCTTGCTAACCCTCAAAAAACCCATTCACACCTGGCACTCCATTTTCCCAGTGTAGTCCCAACACCTCTTCCAAACTCAACCCTGCATTTCTAAATGACTGCCAATTTTGATTTAGGTGTTCTGCCAGGACTTCAAAAACAATCTTCCCCTCTGCAACTCCCTACATCAACTCCTCTCCGTTTTACATTTCAATCAGATGTTCTAGTATCCTTCCAGGTGCCCCACATTCAAGTTCTTACCGCACTCTTGTTCTTCCTAAATCTAATTAGTCTTCTCTTTCTTCCTAAGCCTAACTAGTTACCTGGTTCTTCTGACTTTTCTTTTGCTATGTCACTTGTGTTTTTCATAATAGGAGTCCATAACAGCTTGTTTCAGGATGACTACCACTAACCATTCCTAACTGGCTCCCTGCCACTAGTCCCTTCCTCTCTCTAGTTCTGGATGTGACCTCTAGAACAACTGTCCCAAAACAGTTTATTCCTGTCAATTACCTTGCCTATATGTCTTGTCCTGATCCTCTATGCGTTCTCCTCCATGAAGTTGCCCCTCACCCTATCACTCGTGGAGGTCAAGATAGGGACTAAACTGTCAATCTGAGGTTTCTGGGAAAGAAGGACTGAAATGTGCAGCACCCTACACGTGTGTCAGTCCCACCTACCTTTAGTAAGCACCCATAATGGGAAGAGGCAAGATGAGTTGAGTATTTTAATATTATGACTTTGTGGTCAAGTATCTGTAACTTTTTGCAATTTGGTCTCTGACTCTGCTTCAGTGACTAAGTAGCTTTGCAGTCTGAACCTGACTCTGTCTACCTGACAAACTGCACTCCCAGTATTGTCTGTTGAATCATTACTACCTGTTTGAAAAGTTTGTTTTATGAGTTCCAAGGGAAACTGAGGCAATGGTCATAGTCTTGTGTCACCCCTGCTGCCCATGTCTCATGACTACAAGCGTTGGCCATATCTCCTACCTTTACCTGCTGACCATGGATTAACGGAAACTAGAAAGACCGGTTGCTCTATGTATAGTGTATACTTATGGCTTTGCTCCCCGTAGCAACCAATCCCCTTACGGGTCAGTTTCGTGTGTGTGTGTGTGTATGTGTGTTTTGCCTTTAAAAACTCTGCCTCCCCTGCAGTTCATCCTGGAGGCCGTCTCCCTGTTCTGCAAACCATTGCTGAAAAAAACTGTCTTTAGTCTCTCAAAAAGGTCTCCTGAAGTTTTCCTTGACAGAAGACTCCCAACTTCCAACCTGAAAGTTGGCAGGTAACAGACATATACTATATAGTGTATCAGGTGTATCTGAAAGAACACGAACACACACACACACACACACTCACACACACTCACGCATGCTCCGCCGTGTCACCCAATTCTACTTCCACGCCTCCTCCCCCAGGATCTCACGGCCGGGGCGTTCACTTCGCATCAAAGTCACGTCTCTACAGCCCTCACCTCTGGGACTCAGGGCTCGGGACCCAGGAAGACGGCGCTTCTTCAGGTCCGGAAAGCAATGAGTCTGCGCAAAGGGCTGGAACGCCTGCGCGCACAAAGCTCGGCCTTCGCACGGACTGCATTCCCCAGAAGCCTCAGCGGCCGGCGCGCTTACGGATGACGTAAAACATGCGCAGGCCTGCGCCTCTGAAAGGAATCAAAGGCGACCCTGAAGCGTGACTTCGCTGTAGCCGCCTAGAGAAGCTATGGTTGTGGATTGCTGGGCTTGTGGTCCCACCCTGGCACTGTCGACCACGCGTGTGTCACAGTCCTCCGGTCCTCCGGCGGGAAAGGTGTCTTTCCGATCCTCTGGCTCTCACCGCCCCGGACATGAGTCTTTGGGCGCTCGGAAGGGGCTTGTTTCTGCTACAGCTTGTCCACAGTCGGGAATTTGGTTCTGAGATGTGAGCCACAGAAACATAGAATCTGGTTCCGAGGACGGGGCTGGGCCTGAGGCAGGGGATGTGCACATTCTTGCGCGGAAGAAGAGCCGAGGGCGTGAGTGTATTTAACCGGGGAGCTGCCCCGCTGGGCACACCAGCCTCTCTTCCTTGGTACCGCTGAGAAGGGCCCTGGTGGAGACATCGCAGGGATTCTTAACCTTTGTTGCACGGGAACTGATGGGGGGTGGGGAGAAGAGAGAGAGGGAGAGGGTATATTCTGATAGAGCACTTGGATTAATGTGAAAACTAATCATATTTTAAATCTTAGGAGACATATACATATGTGAATAGGGGGTTAGGTTTTAAGTTTCCTTCTCAAGGTCTTGCGAAGCCATTGAGGAGGTGACTCAGGTGTGAATCCAGCCAGCAGAACGACCAACCAGGAGTCAAAACGTCATCTCATCGCCTGGTGACTAAAGACAAACAGCTGACATCTGCGGACCTCCAGGGTTGCCTCACCCTAGCCCCTTCCCCTTTATAATTCCGCACCTTGCAGGAAGACAGCATTTGAGGCTTGTAAACACCTGTCTTCTTGGTTGGCTAGCCGTCTCAATAAATGCCTAATATGATTCAACCCTGCCTTTATTGGACACAGGGACAGGCACCCGGGGCCCAACCGGGGGTGTCCTGGTAACAGAATCACCTGCAGAGATATATATTGTTTGGGGCCCACTCTGAGGAGTGAGAGTTTCAAAAGATCTCCAGATGATTTAAATGAGCAGCAGCTAAAGCTAAGAGCCACTGAGCTAGTTTCAGGGAAGACTGATGATCACACAAAGAATATGATAAAATCCTATTCAGGAACAAGTCTTCCCTTTTAAACAAACTACCATAGGCAAGACATTGTCACAACCCCTTGTGAGCACTGTTTTGTCCTGTAACTTTAGTTTTGCTTTTTCCAGTGTCATATAAACAGGATTATACATTATGTAACCTTTAGACTCTAAAGGCTGGGAAGTATGGAGACACATCTGAGGTAGGGTAAGCAAGCTCCTTTGTTTGAAGTAGGGTTCTTGTCAGGAACAGCAGGAGATTAGGGCAGACTGAAGAGGGCATTAAACACCAAACTGAGGGGCGAAATTTTGTCCTGTAGGTAGTATGAAGACTTTCAGCGGCACCAGTAGGTGCACAAGAATGGTTAAAACAGCAAATATACACTAGAGGAAGGGACCAATTTAGGCTGAGACTAGCAACAAAGCTGTTGCAGGCCTCCAGGTATATAAAGTGATGGGTGGGGGTGACGGGCCATTGGGGAAAAGTGAAATAGAGCACATTAAGCTAATGTAAAATATTTGCTGTTTCTGTTCCTGTGAACCTTGGCTATCTGGGAAGAAACACATGATTTTTAGCCGCCTAGACTGGCATCCTGATCTCAGCTGTCCAGGTGGCTCCTGTGCATCCCACCTGCTGCTCCCCATCTGCCTTGCCCAAATTCTTGGACCCTTAGATCTTGCCTGTCTGCATGGATCCACTTTAAACTGGTTCCCTGAATTTTGGGCTCAGCCTCCTCATCTGGACTTCAAATGTTTGAGGGATTGTCCTAGTACAAGCTAACTCTTTTTAGTCTAGATGACTCTGATCTGTGATAATTCCTGTTCTCAACCTAAATTGCAGAGACAACATGATATGAACTTGAGAGCAGGTAAACTTAGGGCTAACTATTACAATGGAGCTTAGCAGCCACTTATACACAAACTGCATGCAAACTGCACTTCAGAAAAAAAGTCTGCCTCTTCCTGAATTGGCCCCTGCACTGTTTCTGCCATCTCTTATAAAGGAGTTCCTGGAATCTTATTTCAACCAGTAGGACTGAGTTTTTCCCCTATCCAATTGGAGCTGCACAGCTCCAACCAACATCTATTCTGATCAATCATGTCAATGCCTTTTGGGTCAATCAAACAGAGGATTTGGATTTACGTGGGAACAAATCAATGAGGGACCAGGGGTGGGACCTTCTGTCTCTATAAACTAGCTTCTCTCAGGCTCTAGGCAGGCCCTCGTCCTTTCCACCAAAGAAGGATGATTTGTGTCTCCCTGGTTGAGCTGAAACATGGAGATGTCTCACTAGAGCAGAGCAGGCCATTGAGGAACAGAGCAAAGCTGTCCTAGCTGGTGAGGGGCCTGGCGCCAAGGCTGGCTCACAGCTAGCTGCATCACATTTGAATTAGTTTGGTTTTTTTTTTTGCTAAGTAAAATTCCCTTCTTCACCACACCCCAAAAGTGAGGATTCCTGTTAGGACTGAATTGGTGCCCATGTCCATCCCTTGACAATATTGATCTACCTTCAAGGTTACTCTTCTACCTCCTAAGGAAGCCCTGTACCACTATCAGTTGATCAAAGCAGTAGTAGGTCAGCCTGGATCCAAAGGAGGTGACATGAACTAGGCAAAGGAATGCAAGTACATAAAGAGAAGGACGTATTGGGGGACCATCTTTTATTGATTTTTTTACAGAGAAGGGAGAGTGATAGAAACTATGAGAAAGAAACATCAACCAGCTGCCTCCTGCACGCCCTCTACTGGGGATGTGCCCACAACCAAGGTACATGCCCCTGACCGGAATTGAACCTGGGATCTTTCAGTCCGCAGGCCGATGCTCTATCCACTGAGCCAATCCGATCAGGGCAAAAGTCTACTTAAATGGGCTGCATTATAAAAGAGGCAGGAGTGAAACCAGCTGTTTAGTTCAGCAAAGAAAAAAATAGTAGATGAAGCAACTATCAATCTCGATAATCTCGCGCTCTAGCTCGTCACTAGTTTTGCTTTTCCGAATTTGAAAATTTTACATTAACTTTGAAAACTGGAGGTTTGTTTGAGCTGGATTCCTAGCTTCCTACAAGATGCCCATGTATTTTCCCTTCTGCATACCTGTGTCATCAGCGCAAGCCCAGATCAAGACATGCCCAGGTGAATAAAAACTGTTGCCCAGACTTGGCAGAATAAAGCTAATGGACTCCAGGAAGGTACTGGAGTGGGTATGAACGACTTGCGCCAACATATTCCTTGTCTGCCTTCCGCGTGGACCTCCGCTCAGACCCATTCCCTGACCTCCGTGCGCGGCCCACCTAGAGGCTAAGTTCCCGGGACCAGCGCGTGCGGACAGGAGAAGGAGGTCTAAGACCCACGCCCGTCGCCTCGGAAGTCGGTTTGGCCCCGCCACCTCTCGCGAGAGAACGCTGTTAGCCCTAGCCCCGCCCTCCATCCGCGGCGACCAGCCCAAACCCCGCCCTCGGGTCCTCACGTGAGGACCCTTAGAGGCTGTCCGCAGCCTCGCCGGGCTCTTTCCTTTCGGTGCAAGTCTGGACTGTGTCCCACCCCGGGCTGCGCTGCGGCGCTGCCATCTGGCCTCGGGGTCTGAGGCCCGGGGAGCAGAGGCCGGCTCTGTCTGCGGTCTGGCGGGCGGCGGGGAGGGCTGCCTGGACGAGGCGCTGCAGGGGCTCCAGCATGGCGGCGGCGGTGCGCGCAGCGGGCTGCCTCCCCGCGCTGTGCCGCGTGCCCGCGGGTGAGAGCGGGGACACGGAGCGGCGCCTTGAGAGGAGCGGGGAGGGGGCCGGGAGCTCGTCCGGGCGACGAGGGGCGTGGTGCCGCGCGCGGATCCCGGGCCCCTCACGCCGGGCTCCGTCCCACCCCGACCCGCTGTGTGACCTTGCGCGCGCCCTCGCCCTCTCTGGGCTCCAGGATCAGTCAGGAGCGGGAGGTCCGAGGCCCTTCCAGTTCTCCAGGTCGTTCCTGTCCTGTGCGCTGGGCAGGGAGGGGCCGGGCGCACTGGCGGCGCGATCCGCGGGTCTCTTGGTGCTGTCGCCGCGGGGTTCGAGGTGGATGGCGGTCAGCAAAGCTTAAGGGAGAGGCTGAGTCGCGTGGGAGTCCGCCGTGTTAGGCTCCGGGCGGGTCAGTAATCTTACTAACCCGGGGTGTTTGGAAGGCCAGCTTACCCGTTGGCTGTTAGCTGCCATCATCTAGTTCTAGTCCTTGACAGCGTTTGTCGTCAGCCCTTTTCATTATAGTCATCTTAGTGAAGTGGTATCTGTGATTTTGATTTGCGTTTTTTTATGGTCAATGAGCATATTTTCTCATTGCTTTTGGCCATTTGTATATAGAGACAGTCGTTTAAAATCTTTAACTATTTTTAAATTGGGCTGTCTTTTTCATTGATTTCAAAGAGGAAGGGAGAGGGACCTGAACATCAATGATGAGAGAATCATTGATCAGCTGCCTCCTGCACGCCCCCTGCTGGGGATCAGGAGCCCGCAGAATTGAACCAGGGCCCCTTCAGTCTGCAGGCCAACGCTCCATCCAAACCAGTCAGGACTTGTCTTTGTTCTCTTATTCTATAGATATTGATATTAATGTTAATATGGGCTTGACTGTTCTTAAAGTGCTTTTTCATGGGAAAATGTATCTTAATTTATTTTTATTTTTATTTTATTTTTCTTACTTTACAGGTCACTTATGGTCCAGGCAGCTTTACCTACACACGTTTCCAACAGCTTCCACTTTGGCATTGAAGACTGTTCCCAGTAATGGTGAGATTTGCTTATTTAATTACATTCTCTTATAAGATCTAATGCTAGAGTACTTTATGTGGTTTTTAGAAATGTAAATGAACAAAGCGCATTTTTTGTAATGGAAATGCATAGGGTCTAAAGAGTATTATTTCTTATTCTTTCTTTCTTTGTTTTTTTCCATTATCATTTTTCTCTATACCTTCTACACTTCCAACCCCCAGTCCAATCACCATACTGTAGTCCACATTCATGAGTTCTGTCTTTTCTTTTTTGCTCAGTTTCTCCTCAACCCTACTGTGTGTCAGGCTTATAACATGTAATCTTGGTTAATCCTCACACCAAGGAAGTAGTTATTCCCATTTTACAGATGATGAAGTAATTCTCTGAGAGGCTGCGTGACTTAGGGTCACACAGACAGCAAAGGTCACACAGACTGGGTCCTGAGCTGTCTCCTCCTAACAGTCTTTTGGAGGCCTCTGCTCCCACCTGACAGTGCAGGGCTCCTCTTCAGCCACCCTCCAGGAAGGGAGGAAGCGAAGCCCTGCTGAGCCCATCAGTGCCTGTGGTCAGTTAAATCCTGCCTTTCCACGTGGACTATGCTTAGGCAGAATTGAAATCTCATGGTGTCCTTGAGCTTCTGGAACTCCGTGCTGGGCTTTACTGGCAGTGTATTTGCTTTCGTTGTTTACCCCGCCTGTGGAGATGCCTGTATACCTTGCTTGAGAGGTCTAGCAGATGAATCCCGTGGGCCTGGGCTCTTCCCTTTTTGTGGTCACTTGTTGGTTCGGTGATTCAGTGATTCATTGATTCATAAGCCACTTACTCTGCCTTTTATCAGCCAGGCAGTGTCCCTGACCTGTGCTGATGGGAGGTAGGCCAGAGAGGAGTGCTCTTGGCTGAGGGATAGCCCTGCGGAAGGCCCTGGATGGGAAGAATGGTGACTGGCAGAATGACCGCACGATTCTCTGCTCCACTACTTTCTGCCTTTTCAAACGTGGGCAAATGTCACCCCTCCGACCCTCAAGTTTCCACATCTATAAAATAGGGTTAGTAGTTCCTGCTTTGAAGATTGTTGTATTAATTCTTAAAATATTATATTTCTACAAAATACTAAAAGGGTTATATCTCAAAACCAGTTCCCTTTTCTATTCCTTCCCATCTTCCATCTTGTTACTTTCAATTCTTTCAGTTCCTTCTGGTGATATTTCTAAACTGATTGTATTGTTTTTGTGCCTGTTAACAAGGTTATGCTAATTGAAGAGCTCTCTTACACCTCCATCCCCGTTTTCCCCCAATGTACAATTTTGATGGACTCTATGGATGGTGTTTTCATTATTAATGCTAAGTGTATATTATTACAGCCAAGCTAGTTAGTATTAGTCATTACATTTTCTTCAACATTTCCTCTCCCCTAGAGTTAATACTTGCCTTAATTTTTAAAAGTTGCTCTGTTTTCTTTGTACCTATTGAGATATTTTTCTAAATACTGCAACAGATTGTTCAGAAATATAGCCATAATTTTTCTAAAATCTCTCAAAAGGGGGGAGGATCCAAGATGGCTGCTCAGGTAGACACCTAACCGCAGCAGTACACAACAATTTCAACGGAATACAACTAAAATGTAGAGTGGACATTGCCCAGAGCTACAGGTAGTCGACTGAAAATTCTGCGACAAGAAGGAAAGAGAAAACCAGAAGGAAAATCAGAGGAGCTGAAAAATCCAAGGTATGGAGACATGCGGCGCGCACACACTCGCGCGCGGAGAGGAGGAGAAGGCTGAGTGCCTGCCTGGCGTTCCCTAGCAGGAAGGAAATAAAAACCCCGGCTTGGGCTGAACCCCAAAACCGGCAGCGCTGAGCCCCAGTTATGGGCCAGACCCTGGGGACCCAGGCTCGGGCAGGGGGAGACGGGGCTGTGAGGCGGAATCCCAGGGGAGCAGCGAAAAACAGAGCCCCTGGAGTCGCGCACATTGCACACAGAGGACAGAATGTTGACTCTGATGCCGTATTGCCCAGGCGGGAAGAAACAAAACCTCCGGCGGTGCTGAGCCCCACTCCCGACTGCTCTGAACCCCAGTTCTAGGCCAATCCCTAGGGACCCAGGCACAAGCAAAGGGAGACGGGGCTGTGAGGTGGTGTCCTGGGGGAGCGGCGAAAAGCGAGCCCCCGGAGTCGCGCACATTGCGCGCAGAGGACAGTCTGTTGACTCTCATGCTAGACTCACCTAGTGGGAAGGAGAAAAAAAAGCTCCAGATTGGAGGAAAGCGACGAGAAGCAGAAGCCCCTGCCGGACATCGGCCAGCCGGGCGCCAGCAAGGAGCCGGGCCACGGGGGGCTCAGGGTGGGGAGGGTGCCCCTGGGCCTCCGACCGCTGAGCGCAGGCCACGGAGCCGAGGCCGGGAGCTGCTTCCTGGGCGGCGCCGACCCTGGCAACAGGCTGAAGCAGCACAGGAGCCCAAAGAGAACAAAGGGGTGCGACAGGCCAACCTGCTGAGCTTCTAGGACAAGGAGGAAGAAACCGAAGAAGTTTTCAATGTGAAGAAATCAAGTGAGAGCAAAAGATAGTAAAATTACTTAAGAAAGAATACAAAGAAGATCTTGAAAAATCGAAGACTAAGTCAGAACTCAACTCAGCAGCCAACATTGCAACATAAATGCATTTAAAAAAAAAAAAAAGGACAGAATGTTGGAATGGCGGCGGCCAGGCCTAGAGTGGCCAGGCACAAGGCAGTGGCAGCTGGGCCTGGAGCAGCAACAGCAAGGCCCCACAGCAGCAGCCAGAACCAGAGCAGCAACAGCCAGCACTGGAGCAGCCAGACCTGGGGCAGTGGCAGCCAGGCCTGAGGCGGAGGTGGCCAAGCCCAGGGTGGCCAGTCCAGGAACACCCAGGCCCGGAGTGGCCGGGCCCGGAGAAGCCGGGCCAAGAGCAGCCGGGTCAGGAGCAGCCAGACGCGGTATAACAGCAACCAAGCCCAGAGCATGCAGGCCGGGAGCTGCCAGGCTGGGAGTGTCCAGGCCCGGAGCGGCCAGGCCCGGAGCAGCTGGTTGTGGAACGAACCAGAGCAACAGAGGCCAGGCCCCACCCCAAGGCTGCCTCTCAGACATGGCTGGAAACATTTGGGGAAACTTGAGGGTCTCCTGAATCAAATGAGGAAGGCTTAGATCTGGATATGTTAAGTCAGTAAAGCCCTGGGGTGTTGATCTGTGAGTGCCTTGTGTGGGGCCTGGATGAGGTTGGTTGATCTATTTGGAAATGTCTTTTGTGTGAAGTGTATCCTTGGGCATGTGGAGGTATTATTGATTTGAGAAAATGCTAAGTAACTGATTTACTATCTGAAAAATTTAAAGTTCTGAAAGTTTAAGGTCTCTTGCCAAAAAGAGGTTTTAAAGCTAACACTTTAATTTTAATGGAGAAAGGGAATGACAAGCCCTTCCCACCCAGAACAGGTAATCCAATTCCAACCTGCAGCTATGTTTAAACAATGTGTCCATTTACACTTGAATGGCTATACCTTTTGATAGCCTAAGGGCAAGTTTACATGTAAACAAGTTTGCTCTCAATTCCCAGGACAGAAGGAAAAAAAAAACAAGATTTAAAATTATTAGATTTTAAAATTTATTCTTAGAAGTGTAAAAGTTTATTAATAATAAAAACAACAACAACAACAACAAAAAGGAGATTGAAAAACCTGATGAACAATAATAGCGGTTCATTGTAGTAGAGTCAGCGATATGGGAGGTGAGTGGACTGATGTTGGCGGGGGGGGGAAGGAAGAGACTGAACATAAACTGTGCACCTATCGATGAGGACAATGGGGGGTGGGGAGGGGGCGGAAAGTGGGGTGGGATCCTGGTGGAAGGTGGAAGAAATGAGGAATCTTTGTAATAATATGAACAAAAAAGATTGATTTTTTAAAAAAATATCTCAAAAGTCACTAATTAATCAGGTTGATTTAATAGAAGAGAATTAGAAGGAAGAAATTCTTCATGGTGAAAACTATTAGATGATGAAGTGAGACCTTCAGAGACAGAGTCATTGTCTTTGAAGAGGTCCACCAATCTCTTTTAAAGGGATTATTTCTAAATTCTAAAATGGACTTCTTTTTACTTTTGACAATTGGACCTTTTTAGCCTAAATACATTATTAGCTATTATAGTATTTGGATTTTTTGAAAAAAGATGAAAGAATTCTAAATCTGATGGCAGCGATTTTTACACTCAAAGTATATTAAGTATATCAGAGATTGCAATGCTAAATGGTGCAAGATAAATATGTGCAGTTGATATTTTGTTGAAGATGGAGGAGGTTACAAGAAAAGCTAAAATGTGTCCCAACAAATGGGGTTTGGAATGATCATTGAAGCTCTGGATTTATTTAGAATGAAAAGCCAATATTTTTTATTTCTTATTGAGTAATTGCTAAGTGAATTCATCTAAGTCAGTTTCCACCCTCAAGCCACTGAGTAATTCATCTGGGATTAAAATTGATGTTTAGCCCTGGCTGGTTTGACTCTGTGGCTAGAGTAAGCATCAGCCTGCGGACTGTAGGGTCACAGGTTCCATTCTGGCCAAGGGCATATGCCTGGGTTGCGGGCTTGATCCCCAGTAAGGGGTGTGCAGGATGCAGCTGATCAGTGATTTTCTCTCATCGATGTTTCTATCTCTCTATCCCTCTCCCTTCCTCTCTGAAATCAATAAAAAAATATTTTTTAAAAAATGATGTTTAACTCTCATCTACTAACTTGTCCCATGACTTTTTGGCAAATCCCTAACCTTGCAGACCTAAGTATCTTATGAAATGAAGGGGTTGGATGAAATGATTTTTAATTATTGATAGAGATTTTTTTTTTTTCAGTATCTATAGTGGAGATATTTTGGCAGCTTATTGCAATCACTTAATATCAATTTTCCTTATATACTCAACTGAGGTTCTTTTTTGTTGCCACTAAGATCATTTCTGGTGTTTGGCCCTCTAGGATGAAGCAGTTGTTACCATATACTTCTTTTTTTTCTTTTTTTAAAATATGTTTTATTGAATTTTTACAGAGAGGAAGAGAGAGGGATAGAGTTAAAAACATTGATGAGAGAGAATCATCGATCAGCCGCCTCCTGCACACCCCCCACCAGGGATGTGCCCGCAACCAAGGTACATGCCCTTGACCGAAATCGAACCTGGGACCTTTCAGTCCGCAGGCCGACGACGCTCTATCCACTGAGTCAAACCAGTATCGGCTGTACCTTGTTTTTCTAACCAAAAGAAATACTGTCCTCAAAATATGACTCTTAAAGTTCAGGATTTTTTTGGCCCTAGCTGATTTGTCTCAGTGGATAGAGCGACAGCCTGCAGACTGAAGGATCCCAGGTTCGATTTCGGTCAAGGGCACATGCCTAGGAGGTTGCAGGTTTGATCTCCAGTAGCGGGCGTGCAGCAGTTGGCTATCAGTGATTCCTGCTCATCATTGATGTTTCTATCTCTATCTCTCTTTCTCTCTCTCTTCCTCTCTGAAATCAATTTTTTAAAAAGTTCAGGATTTATGTGACTTCATTTTATTAGGAACAATTAATTATTTGGTGCTGGCAATGTTTCTTCACAGCCATAGAGCTTCTAATTCAAAGTTTTTTCCCTTCTACCTACAGGCCCTTTGTCATCTCCAGGAACCAGAGACAATTGTCATTTCAGCGGCTTGACCTGTGCTCTACAGACACAATGCTGGATTTCTTCTCCCAGCAACTTGATGGGCCAACAGCATAGATCCTATAGTTTCTTCACTAAATGTACGTAGACTGGCTGCAAACTTCCCATTTCATGAAACAGGAAAATGAAAGATGCTTTTGTGTCTTAATTTTTCTTTATTTTCTGCTTCCTTAAATGAATTGTCACTTCAGTGATTAGTATGTGCTATACTATTAATAGAAAAATGTACCTTCATGTACCTTGTAGAATTACCTCACCAAGGTAGAATTACCTTGTAGAATTACCACTCATATTTGTATTACACTTTGGGAACCACTCTTTTACTTTAATGCCCTTCTTTGGGGCCCCTGAGGCTGATTTAGATTCACACCAAGAATGTACTCAGAGTCTGTTTCCAGTTGTGCTTTAGTTGAGGTAGGATATCTAATCAGAAAAAGTTTATTTATTTTAAGTAGATATTTTGTGTTTTGTTTGTTTTGTTTTTTTCAGACACAGTGTTTTAATCATTCTCCTAAAAAAAGGGGGGGCGTGCTGGCACAGCGTAAGGCACTAGGACAGGAATTCCTTCTCCAGCTGGTAGATGGCTGGCCCGGCCGTTCTCACTCTTCACCTGGCTCAGGCCCTGCACATCGGCATCCAGCAAGGAGGGCCCGAGCGATCTCGTTCTGTCCGGGGCTCCGAGGGGACAGCCGGGGGTCGGTGCCCCGCCGCCCAGGCCAGAGTCAGCCCGTGCAGGCAGCGGCTCTTAAGTAGATATTTTTTTAACACGACTCCTACTTGTGATAGAATTTGAATGAGTTCAATCTGAACTGATATAAATGGAGATTGAAATTACAACTCAACATTAGGCAAATTTTTAAAAACTAGAATTATAAAGCTAGTTTATTTTAAACTATTTGGTAAATATAGAATCAAAAAAGAAAGACACCTATAACCCTATTGCCTGAAATCCTGGTTTTGCCCTCTTTTCATGCAGCAATATATTATACATTTCCACGTTAGCTCACAGGCTCTTCCTGTGCAGTGTTATGACAGCTGAGTATTTCACTGTGTGGCTGTAGTTCACTGTAATGTGGAGGTCTATAACTAGGTCATTGTGTAGCAATGGGGGAAAGAGGACTTGGTGGTTGGGACATAACGAGTAGCATAGGCCGTGTTGTATCTGTAGATTGGGTACAAAAAGAGAGGTGGATGCAAAAAGATGAGTTGGAGTCTCTTGGGGCCCCTATCCCCAAATGTTTCTAAGAGTTGACTTTGTAATTAGGGTCTGTATGAGAGGCCTTGGAAATTTTTTAAAATAGTCTTTGCCTTGTCCTAAAAGGCCTTTTCTCTAACTCCTCTTATTCTAGAGGTGCCTTTTGCCCTCATAAGCCCTGTCCCTGCACTGCTGTTTCACCAGCCTCAGGCTCTGCATTAGCCTGTGTTCTTAGTTATGGGACTCTGTACCTTCATGAGTTTATTGGTTGCCAAGTCATATTGAGATTAGCTTCAAGTGCGTGTTCTCAGTTGAAATTAGCATGGGGCTAGTTTTTGCTGGGGTTTTTTTTGACAGAGAAGAGTTGAAATAATAGTAAATCTATTCTAAATAGCAATTTAGGTTAATTAGAATCTTAGACCAGTTATAATAGTAAAATCTCTGTCAAAACAATTCAACTTGTAGCTTTTAAAAATTTTTCTTAGTATTAATTAAGAATGTGAGATAAGGCTCACAATGTAATAAATAAAAAAATACAAATGTTATAATTCCAACTTTGTCTAAAACAAAAATATGTATACACTTAAGGTGCATGTATGAATTTAAAAAAATAGGATATACATTCTGATCAAACAGTGGTGATGAGATTCTGAATATTTTTTATATTCTTCATACTGTCTGTATTTTCTAGATTTAAAATAATAACCAGCCCTAACCGGTTTGGCTCAGTGGATAGAGCCTTGGCTGTGGACTGAAGGGTCCCGGGCTCTATTCTGGTCAAGAGCATGTACCTTGGTTGCAGGTACATCCCCAGTAGGGGGTGTGCAGGAGGCAGCTGATCAATGTTTCTAACTCTCTATTCCTTTCCCTTCCTCTCTGTAAAAAAATCAACAAAATATATTAAAAAATAAAATAGTAAAAGAATAAAAAAATAACCATTTCTGTTATAATCTTTAAAAAAGTTTAAAACCATTTTAAAAAGCATAATACCATTCAAAAGTTGACACGTGACTTGTCTTTTTCAAATGTAGTTAGAAATTTTATTTTCCTTTAATGTAAAAAAGATGCTTTAGTATTTTATTTCCTTGTCTCAATATCAAGTTCTTTTGCAAATAGAACCCCTTTTAGTCTTAATGAGTGAATTGCTCATTCTGCTTCTAAGTGATTAAAAGTTCTATAATTGATTTACCTCTTTATGCCTCCTTTGGAAATGCTCTCATTGTGAACTTTCAGGTTTAGATGGCATTTGTAGGCACCATAATTTTTAAGCAGTCAGGAAAGAAAATCAACTGTTTAGAGTTTATTCTGCAGTTGGTTATTTTATTTTGAACCTATGCTGCTTTCAAGTGAATCAGTATCCTATAGTTTGAGCTCAACCTAAATCCTTTGCTCTGATCAGGCGTGATGTGGAGTCTCACTTACTTTTTTGACCTTCAGTTAATGGAGATGAGCTGTACTAATATGTGTTTTCTTTTTTTAAAACAAAGTATACTGTGCAGGTAAAAGCATTTAAAGTATTATAAATCCAAAACATTTTTCCCTTTTGTGTTATCTACCCTGAGGGTCAAGATAAGGCTTTTCAGGAAGCAAGCAGGTAGAACTTTTAAACTCTAAGGGAGGATGAAAATACTTGTGTTGTAGATATTTTTGCTAGGACAGGCAGGCAGGCAGCTATATGTAGTTTAATTTTTGACTAGTACAACATTTGCGTGGCTCTCATTCTTTATTAACTAAATTGGTAATGGAACAGAACCTGTGTTTGTAAAACCAATTGGTGATACTGTGAAAGGTTGGAAGTCCTTGGGAAGAAAGAATTTAAATCTAATTAATGATTTAGTTTCTACACCAATAAAATTTAGAATTATTTTAGTATTTATTCACAATTAAATTCTACTCCAGTAAAATTCAAAAGTAAATAATCTACACATTCCACAAACACAAAGTGGAAAATACTGATTGAAATGTATGGTAGAAAAAGGTTTTGGGATCCTTGAAATTCACCAATGGAAATCAGCAGTGTCAGGTCTATATGTAAAATAAAAGACAAGCATGGTTTAGAAAAAACACATACTCGCGTGCAAATGTTAACTCTCAGACCCCTACTCACTCGTTCTTTCCTGTGTATTGATTGGCTTTTAATCAGCCTGTAAGGTGAATTAAGGCATTTTTTTTTTTAAGATGTTTAGGTCATTCACAGAAGAAGAAAGCACAACATCCAACTTATTAAGACTTATGAATTCAGATTGACATGTCGGTTCTTGTTTAGGCTAAAAAGTCTGTATTGCCGAAACCGGTTTGGCTCAACGGTAGAGCATCAGTCTGTGGACTGAAAGGTCCCAGGCTCGATTCCGGTCAAGGGCATGTACCTTGGTTGCAGGCATATCCCCTGTGGGGGATGTACAAGAGGCAGCTGGTCGATGTTTCTCTCTCTTCGACGGTTCTAGCTCTCTATCCCTATCCCTTCCTCTCTAAAAAAATCAATAAAATAAAATAAAATAAAAAGTCTGTATTGAAGAAGGATAGTTATTGATTATCTCAGTGCTTTTAATGGAGGCAAAAGGATGGGAAGAGATCTGTAAATAGTTGATAAAATGTCGGGAAAAAACTTGTTGGAGAGAAGGATTTAAATGTTGACTGTCTTTTGTGGGGGAAGGCCATATTTTAAAGTAATAGAATTGGTTCCTTTTGGGTTTTCCAAATGTAATTATGAGATATGTGTAAAGAATGGTTTAATTTTACTTTCATGTCTGCAACAGTACAAGTGAAGCTGGCATCTTCTTTTCTATTCAATGGGAGACCATAGATCATTGCTTAAAAATAAGATAAATAAAAAAATCCTCTCTCATTACAGTGACAGCAGATGAGCTATGGAAAGGTGCTTTAGCAGAGACTGGTGCTGGAGCAAGAAAAGGAAGAGGCAAGAGAACTAAGAGAAAGAGAAGGAAGGATTTGAACAGGGGTCAGATCATCGGTGAAGGTAAGTTAAAAAAAAAAACCTAATGTGCTTTTTAAGGTTTATTCCCCAAATTTTGTAGATATTTTTACAATCTAGAAGCATTAAAACATTTCTCTCAAATGGAGGACATGAGGATCTACTGCTTACCCCAGGATTCTGGGGGAGAAAAATTTCATAGAAAGAGATTATTCATTCATTCCTTCACAAGCCTTTGGTATCGGTATAGCATATGATTCAGGATAAAAGATGGAATAAATAGTGAGTTGGCAAACTCTCTCTGCAAAGGGCTAGGTAGTAAATAGTTTCAGCTTTGTGAGCTACATAGTCTTTGTTACAACCAGGAGCACAAAATAGTCATGGACAATACATAATCAAATTAGCATAGCTTGTTCCAATAAAACTTTATTTATAGAAACAAGTGGTGGGCTGGATTAGGCCTGTGGCCCTTAGATTTACCAACCTGGGAACTCATGATTGTTTATTCTTGTGAGGGTTTTTTTTGAAGAATAAAAATAGCATGGTGTACTTGAATTGACATTTCGTTGTGGTTGTTGATGAATTATTGTTGACTAGAGTCCCGGTGCATGCAAATTCATGCACAGGGGGGCGGGGTGTGTGTGTGTGTGTGTGTGTGTGTCCTCAACCTGGCCTGTGCCCTCTTGCAGTCCGGGACCCCTCGGGAGATGTCTGACTGATGCTTAGTCAGACATTCTTAGCGCTGCCACGGAAGTGGGAGAGGCTCCCATCACCAACCTGCGCTGGCCAGTCATGAGCCAACTTTTGGCTAAGTGGCGGTCCCCCTGTGGAAGCGCACTGACCATCAGGGGGCAGCTCTTGCATTGAGTGTCTGCCCCTGGTGGTCAGTGTGCGTCATAGCGGCTGGTCCTTTCTGCTCATTCTGCCCTTAGGGTCAATTTGCATATTACCTTTTTATTATATGGGATAGTAATAGCTTTTTTTTTTTTTTTTTTTTTTTTTTTTTTAGTAATAGCCTTTCAGACATGACATAAACACCTTCACTGTTCTAGTTACTGCGTATCTACTTGGATATTTTTCTCTGCCTTACCTTGTATTTTACTTACTCATTTTTAAAAAATACATTTTTTATTTCAGAGTGGAAGGGAGAGGGAGAGAGAGTTACAAGAATCCAAGATGAGAATCATTGACTAGCTGCCTCCTGCACTTCCCCTACTGGGATGGAGCCCGAAACCTGAGCATGTACCCTTGACCAGAATCGAATCCGGACCCATTTAGTCTGTAGGCTGATGCTCTATCCACTGAGCCAAACTGGCTAGGACTATATTTTATTTTTTTGTTAACATTTAAAAAGTTATATATATACACATACATATATATATGATTCTCAGTAGAAACTTCAGACCCTAGGAGAAACCTAAGTCCTTCTGGTGCCCTTTCCACACCCTCCTTCTCAGTTGCCGTGAAGAATAAAAATAGTATAGAGTACTTGGAAACATCTGATCTCATTTTGGTGTGTTTCCTTCTGGCATTTTAAAAAATACTTATTTTTATTGATTTTTCACAGAGAGGAAGGGAGAGGGATAGAGAGTTAGAAACATTGATGAGAGAGAAATATTGATCAGCTGCCTCCTGCACACCTCCTACTGGGGGTTTGCCCACAACCAAGATACATGCCCTTGACTGGAATTGAACCTGGGACCCTTCAGTCTGCAGGCTGACACTCTATCCACTGAGCCAAACCGGTTAGGACCCTTCTGGCATTTTTTAACGCTCATCTATAATAATAAAAGCATAATATGCTAGTTACACCAGACTTCCTGGACGAAGCCAGGGCTGCGAAGGAAGCCCGGGTCCCAGGTGCCTACGGTTGCAGGAGAGAAGCTGGGTCCCTGTTGCCGGAGGGAAGCCGGTGGGCAGCCGGGGGAAGGAAGGTCTACTCTTGAATGAATTTCATGCATTAGGCCTCTATTATTTACATAAAAGTCTTAAAAGAAATATATATTTTCTTTTTAAAAAAATAATTAAACTGCACCAGACCGGTTTGGCTCAATGGATAGAGTGTCGGCTTGGGGACTGACAGGTCCCGAGTTCGATTCCGGTCAAGGGCATGTACCTTGGTTGCAGGCATATCCCCAGTAGGGGATGTACAAGAGGCAGCTGATCGATGACTCTCTCTCATTGATGTTTCTAACTCTCTATCTTTCTTCCTTCCTCTCTGTATAAAATCAATAAAATATATATTTTTTTTTAATTTAAAAAAATAATTAAACTGTATCATGTGCTACACATACTATCTTATAATTTACCTTTTTCTCTCAAAGCTTGGGAAATTGTTCCACATCAGAACCCACAGAACCATCTCATTATTTCAGTTTAGTGCAGAAGGTTTCATATGTTGGCTATGCCATGGTTCGCTCACCCCTCCAGGAGTGCTGGACTTGTAACACATTGTTTCCACTTTTTGCCTTTGCAAATGGCTCTCAGTGCACTTCCTTGTCCAGGCACACATATGCCTCCTGCCTGTGTGGGAGTATTTCTCTAGCCTAATACCATGAAGTGGAATTATTAGCTGAAAATTTTAATGGATGTGCCAAGTGGCCTGCCACGTGATTATGTTAGTTTAAACTCCTACCAGCAGTGTAATCTGTACAGCCATTGCCTGGCATCTTAACACTCGAATGCTTTAAAGAAATTCTTACTCGTGTATGTTTTTAAACTTTCAGGGCATAGTGGCTTCCTATGGCCTGGTCTGAATGTCCCTCTAATGAAGGATGGAGCTATGCAGACCATTGCCCAGAGAAGCAAGGAAGAGCAGGAGAAGGTGGAAGCTGACATGTTCCAGCAGAGAGAAGAATGGGACCGGAAGAGGAAGATGAAGGTTAAGCGAGAGCGAGGCTGGAGTGGAAACTCATGGGGAGGTGTCAGTCTTGGCCCCCCCGACCCGGGACCCAATGGAGGTAGTGTCCTGATTTTGCTTACCTTTGTGACGGAGAGATTGCTTGTAGGACTGGAGTTCCTTAATATGAGCTACATTATTATCCAGCTGTACTTATGGAACATTAGAGGCCCGTTACCTAAAGTGTGCCGCACACAGGATGCAGAGCACTGGGTTCTGACACTGCTGTTGTGTGGCTCCTCAGGGCCTTCCATGTGGTGGAGTGTGTTATGGATCTGCACAGCAGTTTCCCAGCACAACTGGTCGTGGGGGGCCTGTGGAGCAGCATGGTGTGGGAGTTTCCATAACAGGATAAACCAGATCGTTGTCATTAAGCCTCATAGAAAAATGAAAGAGAAATTCAAAGTACTTCTTAGGCCAAATTAGAAACCAAAGTCCTCCACACCCAAACACCCACGTATTAGAGAAAAATCTCGAGCATCCGTTCCTGAGATGAAGAATAGGCAGGAGTGTGGCGCTGTCTTAAGTGTGGCTTAAGGAGAAGAGCAGAGGCTGAGAGGGAGAGACTGGCGAGCATGCTTAGAGCTGAACAGAAGGCTTCATTTGGGAGAAGAAGATGGGAAGAGAAAAGAGATAAGCAAGTCCTTAACGGGGACCCAGATTCAGAGTAGAGATAAGGGCACTAACCGTGACAGATTCAGGTGAGCCTGTATTGGTAGTGGGCAGGGTGTGTGAGAGATATCTGTCCAGTGGCTTCAGCTGGACTGGGAGGAGGAGGGGCCATCTGCTGAAGAGAGGATGGGGCAATGATGAGCATGCTACCAGAATATTTTTTTAAAATATATTTTTATTGATTTCAGAGAGGAAGGGAGAGGAAGAAAGAGATAGAAACATCAATGATGAGAGAAAATCATTGATCGCTGCCTCCTGCACACCCCCTACTGGGGATGGAGCCTGCAACCCAGGCAGGTGCCCTTGGCCAGAATTGAACCCAGGATCCTCAGTCCATAGGCTGAAGCTCTATCCACTGAGCCAAACCGGCAAGGGCTGGCCACCAGAATATTTTGATGAAAGTAGGGTATCTGTGACTTTCTCCCAGATTATCCAGAATTGGAATTAAATAGTGTAGAGAAAAGAAGACTGACCATGAATTGATAATTGTTGAAGCTGGCTAATTAATACATAAGCTGTCACTTGGCTATTCTTTTTTTGTATATAATTGAAATTTTCTCTACTAAAAAATTAAAGGAACATAGTATTCAAAGTGGCTACGATGTAAGTGGAGAGGGGCCTAACTAAAAGGACAGGAGAGGCTTACAGGTCCCAAGGGGCTCTTGATTGAGTTAGAGACCATGAATGTTTAGGGGTCCACTTCTCTTCTATGGCACCCAGCAGGCCAGGGGTGGCAGACAGCCAATATGGAGGAGAGAAAAAGGTGAGGGAGTCGGGGATATCCACACTCTCTGGAGGAAATGGGCTGTGGTGTGTTGGCTGTGGGAGAGGCTATGAAGACTGGAAGGGGTAAGAGGGAAAGAACAGCGATCAAGAATCTGGAGGTAAAGAACCAAGAACCATCGGCTGGGGATGCATTGAGTGAGAGAGCTGGAGGGGTAGGAGGATGCAGTCAGGGAGGTGGTGGCCGAGGTTACTGGCATGAATTTAATGGTGGAGTGGTCTGGTGGTGGAGGACCAGGGCATGGCCTGCGATGTGGCACCAAAAGATTCACTTTCTCACATAACTGTTGATAATCATGCCTGTGTTGAAAATGCTTTTGTACGCTAATTGTATTGACACGTATCTGTATTTCTGTTTCTTTTCTTTCCGCAGAAAGATACGATGATTTTGATACCAGGATACTTGAGGTAGGCTCGCTGAACCCAGTACCCAGTTAGGTCTTGGAGAAGTTGGGAAAGTTCACGGTGGTGGATAGGGCACAAGGACTGTGAGGAAAAGCCTTAATGGGTGATGTTTTCTAAGACACAGAGCTGATTTGGGTAAGAAAATAATGAAACTTGAGTTTCAATCACTTGATATGGGTTCTTCTGACAGTTGCCCTTTCGGGGCCACTATCAATTGAGTTCTCATGACAAGGCAGCTGTGGTGGTGTTGATAACAGAATTTAGGAATTACGTGGAGATTTCCTCCTTCCTGAAGCCAAGGTAGCATTAGTGATCTGTGCTCAAATCCAGCTGAATCCGGCTTCAGTTCAGGAGCAGGGACGGCAGGAGCCATGCGGCAGGGCTGGAAGCATGAGGCTGCTGTGGGAAATCACCCTGCAGGCCTTTGAAACTAGTCTGCTTGAGGTACATTTCAGTCACTTTCCAGGGCAGTCCCTAAGGTAGCCACCTGCCCTGAGAGCTGGTGCTGCAGCCTGGTGAGTGTTAACTGCCGGGTGGAATGGTCATTTACTGAGCTTGTGACTGAATTTTATATATTATTTCTTCAATACCAGTTGTCTATACAACTTAAATATGTTTGCAAGTATTTTATGTCTTTGGGTCCCAGTGTATACTTATTGGAAGTTAATTCCTTTGAAGAATTCTTATATATGTGGCTGTTTTCCTGTTAGATGATCCATAGCAGTGGACTCAGCTACCTTTTCTTTTAACCTCATTTTATGGGAAAGTGGCTGCTATGTAAGCTGCTTAGTTAACAGTTTCATGGTTCCTGGCCTTTAATATACATCATACACAAAAAAAAAATGCAAGTTTTCCTATAGTTCATAATAAGCAAGTATTTCCAAATTCTCTATTTTCAGGTGAGTCTAATTCTCAGCACAGAGATCTGGTTTTATGCTTTTTTTTTTTTTTTTTTTTTCTATATACAGCGTTTTATTTCTAAATGCACATTCTTTCATATTTCAATATCTCTGATATAGGCATGTGTCTTTTGGCCACCAGTTATAAGCCATGACAGAGTTTAATCAGCACCTTTTTCCTTTGCATACGTTTGTTAAAATGGGGTACATTGTGTTTTGTAGTTTCAAATTCCTTTAAGTTACCTCAGAATTGCTAACAAGCTCTAGCTGGTTTGGTTCTATGGACAGAGTATTGGGGTGTGGACTGGAGGGTCCCAGGTTCGATTCTGGCCAAGGGCACATGCCTAGGTATGGGCTCGATCCCCACTAGTAGGTGTGCAGGAGGCAGTTGATCAGTGATTCTCTTTTCATCATTGATGTTTCTCTCTCTCTCTCTCTCTCCTCACCCCTGAAACCAATAAAAATATATTAAAAAGAACTGCTATAGCCATGAGAAATAGGAGGAGAGAGTCTTATTTCCACTTTACTCCTGAAGAAACAGTCTAGGGAGAGACTTCATGTGAAGTTTGCTGTTTATGCTCATGGACTCGAGGATGACGTGTCTGTTCATGGGTGCGTGCGTGTGCATATGTGCGTACGTGCGTGTGTTGCACACGTAAGGTGGCTGTTCCAGTTCCCACTTCAGAGTTTCCTTAAGGTAAAATATTTATGAAACATTTTGTCTTTTAGGTAAGAAATGTTTTCAATATGACAGCAAAAGAGGGGAGAAAGAAATCGGTCCGTGTACTGGTCGCCGTGGGGAATGGCAGAGGAGCCGCAGGTGAGTGACGTGCAGTGACATTGGGGGCTGGTGGCAGCGGTGGGGTCGTGTGGCCTTTCCTCAGCCTGAGTCCATAAGTTCATGCCGAGGACCAGACTTTCTAGTGATGAATGAAATCTTCTGGGGTTTGGGTTCACAAATCTTATTGTCACCACATGGAATTCCTTAGAGGGAAAAGAATGGATCTTCTACATCTTTTCCTGTGAGGACCAATGGGTATTTTTTTAAAAATATGTTTTCATTGACTTTTAGAGAGAGAGGAAGGGACAGGGAAAGAGAGTTTGCGAGAGAGAGAGAGAGAGAGAGAGAGAGAGAGAGAGAGAGAGAGAGAGAGACAGATCAGTTGCCTCCTGTATGCCTCCTTTTGGGGGATTGAACCCACAACCCCAGGCATGTGCTCTGATCAGGAATCAAAACTATGACCTTTGGTGCATGGGATGATGCTCAACCAACTGAGCACCATGGGCCAGGGCACCCATAGGTATTTTAGAAACACTTGTGTTATGTAAATAGTGGAAAATGAGGGGGAAAGAAACCACTACATTACTTGCTAAATAGTAGGGACATGGTTACAAAAAGAATATAGATATATATCGTAATATTCTTAGGCCACTAAAGAATTATGGAAACTTATAAAAATAATGCTAAGTAAAAAAAGCACAACTTCATATAAGACAAAATATAATTCCAACTTCTGTGTTGTTGTTTTTTTAAGTAAGATAGGAATGCACACTTGAAACCTATATGATCCTATTAACCAATATCATTCAATAAATTTTTTATAAAGTACAAGAGGCCCAGTGAACGAAAATCCGCGCAGTTGCTGTCCCTCAGCCTGGCCTGTGCCCTCTTGCAGTCCAGGACCCCTTGGGGGATGTGTGACTGATGGCTTAGGCCCACTCTCCCGGAGGGAGCAGGCCTTAGCTGCCAGTCAGACATCTTAGTGCAGCACTGAGGCAGGAGAAGCTCCCGCCACCGCCGCTGCACTTAGCCAACCATGAGCCAGCTTTTGTCTGAGCGGCACTCCCCCTGAGGAAGCGCACTGACCACCCCAGGGCAGCTCTTGCGTTGAGCATCTGTCTCTTGGTGGTCAGTGCACGTCATAGTAACTGGTCTTTCCTCCCTTAGTTTCAATTTGCATATTACCCTTTTATTATATACGGTGTTTATATGCAAAGGGAAGAATGGAAGGCTATATACTGAAAAGGTTAATAACATTTAACTCTCATTCATCGGGTGGCCATTCATTTAAATTTTCTTCTTTTCTATAAAGTTTCCATAGTGAATGTCTACTAAATGTGTAAGGGAAGAAAACTGCCTAATTAACTACATTGACACTTTAAAAATAAGTCATACATATGTATAGTATGTTGCCAAAGGAAACCAGTCTCAACAGATATTTTTGTATCTTTCCCAGAAATTCTTTATTCATATATCTATTTTTTTAAATTTACACAAAGGGATCATAATATGTTCATAATTATGTGCCTAACTTTTCTCAGTTAGCATTTTCCAGAGATCTTCCTGTATTAGCATATAGAGACTCACCCGCATTCTTTGTACTGATTGCATAGTTTCCCATTTTGCATGTTTATTGGCCATTATTATTTCTTCTTTGAGGTCTGTCAGTTCATTTGCTTTGCCCATTTTTCTGTTGTGTGGCTGTTCTCCTCGTTGAGGATATAGTTCTTTGTGAGTTATGGAAATTGGCCCTTTGCCTATCACATATTTTGACTTAGTTTTTTATTTTTTCCACATGTAAATTTTATTCCACAGAAGTTTTAAACCTTTATGTAGTGTTACGCCCAGACTTCGTGATCCCCAAGGACCACCAGGGAGCCGAGTCCGATGCAATAAACAAAAGAGCCTCTTCCATGCTAGCATGGGCTCTGGCCCACTCACGCCGGCAGCATGGCGGAAGAGAGAGAATTTCGCCCAGTCCAGGGGTTTTACTCCGGTCGGTGGTGATGTCACTGCCGCGGCTAACCCTGATTGGTTGGGTGAGGGCTAGGGATAACTCTGCCCTGCGGGGCGGAGTCGGGAGCTCATCCTCGCCCCGCCCTGCCCTTTCAGTAGCAAATTTATCAGTCTTTTATTCTGGTTTTGTATCTGAATTTCTGGTTTGTGTTTAGAAAACCTTTATTTGAAGATTATAAATACATTCACTTATATTTTTTTTGTAGGACTTGTATAGTTAAATTAGGAATTGGAATCCATTTGTCCAGGTTTTCAGACGTCTTGCGTCTCTTATGTAGCAGTTTTATGTTACTTTAAACAATTAACGGTGACAGTGGAGGCATTTATGGTATCTTTTGATAAACCTCACTTCATGGGATTAAGTACTCACAAACTCAAGAATCATTGGTTTTTATCTCCTAGTTCTTTGAAATCTAAATTGCATTTGAAAGTTCCAGGGAAATCATGGTTTTACTCTATAGTAATGTATGTTTTTCCAACCTTTCTGGTTATTTTAATCTGTTTTCAAAAATACTCAAAACCATGTTTAGTTTTTTTTATTGAGTAAATTTATTTTTTTGGAGAGATTAATAAAAGGGAATGTTGTGGATTTTTTTTTAATAATATGTTTTATTGATTTTGTACAGAGAGGAAGGGAGAGAGATAGAGAGTTAGAAACATTGATGAGAGAGAGTCATCGATCAGCTGCCTCTTGCACACCCCCTACTGGGGATATGCCCGCAACCAAGGTACATGCCCTTGACCGGAATCAAACCCGGGACCCTTCAGTCCCCAAGCCGACGCTCTATCCATCGAGCCAAAGGGGTCTCGGCGGGAATGTTATGGATTTTATATCCCAAAAGTGTACCATTTCCCAAATGTCCCAGAACAGAGAAGCAAATCTCTGTAGCCTCCTGCTTTATCCTTCATTTAGTACAGCAGGTTTTCCGTGGATGGAGGAGAAATGAAGTGCTCTGAAATATTGTAGAAGCTGAAACTTGAAATATGGTCAAAGATGTGCCAAATATATGCCTTTTTTCATACTTTGGCTTTTTCTTTTAAAGGTTTTGCCATTGGGAAAGCCACTGATCGGACGGACGCGTTCAGAAAAGTACGTACGTTTTTCTTTCGTTGACAGTAAGATCAGTAGACTAAGTGCTAGACATGATGGAAACCACACATAAAAATATACTACAATAACCCTCTCCTGAGGCTTCCTGTCAAGTTTCCACATCTCACAAAGAGCAGTTTCTGAAACCTATGTTTTTTCACATCATTTTCATCAGATTTATGATTGTTACCAAAATTGTGAGACAGCTGAGAAAGTGTCTCACACTGACAGAATGCCCAAGCACACTAAGAAATTGTTAATTTTTTGAGGTTATGATAGTGATATTGTGGTTAAGTTTCTTTTTTTTTAAATTAAATTTTAGCTTTTAGAAATATATACTGATATTGTTGTGTAACTTTGAAATTTTCCATAATAAAATCCTTTATAATAAAAGCCTAATATGCAATTGACCAAAAGTGAAACAGCCAGTCGCTATGATATGCACTGTCCACCAGGGGGGCTGACGTTCATTGCAGGAGCTGGCCCCAGCCCGCAGACCCTAGGCCAGCCAAGTTAGGTGTGAGAAGGTCCCCCCACCCCACAGTCGCCCCACTGGTCACCCCGCAGAGGGAGGTGACCGGCAGCAGCGGTGGTGGGGAGCAGGGCTGGCAAGCAGGTGGCGCCAAGGTGGGTGCCAGTAGGGGCCCACCAGTTGCCCTGCAGATTGACTCTAATCTCTGGCCAGGCCTAGGGACCCTACCTGTGCACTTATTTTGTGCACTGGGCCTCTAGTATTTTCTGAGGTTTTTTTGTTCATCCTCACTGGAGGATATTTTTTCTATTGAATTTTAGAGTGGGAGAGGGGCGAGAAGAGAGAGAAGCATCTATGTGAAAAAGACACATTGATTGGTTGCCTCCTGCATGTGTCCTGACTGGGGCCTGGACCAATCTGCAACCCTGGTACATGTCCTTGACTGGGAAACAAATCCCAGACCTTTTGGCGTGAGGGCTGATGCTCTGATCACTATGCAACACCAACCAGGACAGAAGATATTTTTTTAAATCTCTGAGAAAAAGGTATATTCCAACAGTAAATTTAAGAAAAATATTTTTCATCTTTCAGGCAAAGAACAGAGCAGTTCACTATTTGCATTATATAGAACGATATGAAGACCATACAAGTGAGTGTTAATCTTTTCTTTTAAAATTTGCAAGGCTGTGCTTACTCGTTGTGTGGCAGTATATCTCTACTAGTGATTTAGTGCACAAAATTTATGCGTGGGGGGTGGGGAGGGCTGTCCCTCAGCCCGGCCTGTACCCTCTCTAATCAGGGACCCCTTGGGGGATGTCTGACTGCCAGTTTAGACCCGATCCCTGTGGGATCAGGCCCAAACTGGCAGGCGGAAATCCCTCTCACAATCCGGGACTCCTGGCTCCTAACCGCTCACCTGCCTGCCTGCCTAATCACCCCTAACCATTCTGCCTGCCCCAACTACCCCTGCTGCCAGCCTGCTCACTCCCAATTGCCCCACCGCGCCAGCCTGATCACCACCACCTGCTTCCCCTCCCCTCGTCCCCTTCCGGCCTGCTTGCCCTCAGCTGTCCCCCTCCCCCCACCAGCCAGCTTGCCCCTAACTGTCCCTCCTCTCCCCCCCCATGCTGGCCTGCTCGTCCCCAACTGTCCCCCTGCCCAACCAGCCTGATCGCCCCTAACCACACGTGCCTCGGCCCCACCATCATGTTTTTGACCAGAAGGTCTCCCAGTCTAATTAGCATACTATTTTTTTATTAGTATAGATAGCTTATATAGGATAGTGTTGCTTAAATTGGAGGGAAAAGCCTTTTTCAGCAGGAGAAGATGCTATTGGCAGAGAAAACACATAATCCCTATATCTGGCCTGATAGCCAGTCATATGCACTATACTGCCAAACCGGTCATTAAGAAATTGAAACTCTTTCTTACACCTTACACCAAACAACTGTTGCCCTTAAGCCTCTCCTCAACCCCCACCTTAGGTTCTGCCTTCATAGCTCACCAAGATTAGGTTCTGATTGGTCAGTTTCTATGCCAGTCAACATCAAAAGCTCCACCTCCTAGGCAGCCATTGGCTCCTGGCACTTCACCCAGATTTGGTTCTGATTGGTCAGCTTCTATGCCAGTCAGCATCTCCAGGCCTGATCAAAGAGGCAGGGCTGATCAGCATCCCTGTGGAGACCTGTAGAGAAACAGACAGGGCTGCTGATGAAGCCCGGAGAGAAAGAGAGAGGCAATGGCTGATCAACAGCTGCCACTGAGGCTGCAGAACAGATCCTGCCTCTCTGTAGACCTCTCTCCAGGCCTAATCTGTAGCCCCCTCCACAGTCAGTGCTGGGTCACTGCCCTGGCACCAGCTGCAATCAGTGTTGGATTGCCTCGCAACTCAGCACTGACTTCTGGTATTTGATCAAGCCTTCCAGCCTTTGGTCATTACAGACCCTGGATCTTTATATATCCTATGCAATAAAAGAGTGATATGTAAATTGACTATCACTCCAACATAAGATGGCTGCCCCCAGGTGGACAAAAGATGGCTACCACAAGATGGCCTGCAGGGGAGGGCAGTTAGGGGCAATCAGGCTGGTAGGGGAGCAGTTAGGCATCAATTAGGCTGGCAGGGGAGTGGTTATGGGTGATAAGGGTGGCAGGCAGAAGTGTTAGGGGCAATCAGGAAAGTAGGCAGGTGAGCAGTTGGGAGCCAATAGTCCTGGATTGTGAGAGGGATGTCCGACTACCCGCTTAGGCCTGATCCTACTGGTATCGGGCCTGAACAAGCAGTTGGACATCCCTCGAGTCATCCCAGATTGCAGAGGGTACAGATTTGGCTGAGGGACACTCCTCCCCCACCCCTTCTCATAAATTTTGTGCACTGGGCCTCTAGTATATATATAAGATGGTAACTATTTCTGTGCTTGCTGCTACATTCTTACAATAAACATGTAAAATGTAGAAGCAGACTCTCTCCTGAGAAGGTGGTGATGGGTAAATCAAACTTTGTCACTTATTCTTGGACACTGTGTGCTGGCTCCTTATGGTTGTATTAGTTGCTGTGTAATATTTGTAAGGACATTAAAGCTCATACCTAACCTTGTTCATCTTTATGTTTTCACCCTCCAGTATTCCATGATATCTCTTTAAGGTTTAAAAGAACACATATCAAGATGAAGAAACAACGCAGAGGTAACTTAAAATCTCTTACAATTTTTTGAAGATAAAGCAGTGCAGTTATAGTAGTTCTTTCATGTCCTTTACTTTGCTCACTTTTACTTGAGCTCATTTTGAAAATACCAAACAGAAAGCCTAAGTTAGATTTTTAAGAAGCCTGAATAATTTTTATACCTAACTGGTTTTTGAAATTGCCTCCCACCCTGGCCAGTGTGGCTCAGTTGGTTGGAGCGTCACCTCATACACCAGGGGTGTCATGTTCCATTACTGGTCAGGGTGAGTGCACATATTGATAACTCACTCTCTCTCTCTCTTTCCCTCTCTCAAATTTTAATTTAATTATAGAGGTTAGAATTTTTTATTTTCTTTGTCTTCTATATCTTTCAGGTTTCTATATAGTTGAACCTATTACCTGTGCATCGGGGTTAAGTATTCCGCTGAAGCAGTAGGATACATTATATTATAGATAGCCTTTCCTAAAGCAGGTGCATCACTGTTTCTGTGGGAGGATATTAACCAAATGAGTGCCAAGTAGGAAAACTGTATTAAGGAAAGTAAGAAAGACACCTGTGTATCTTTGTGAATGTACATGAGCATCTCCTGGGGAGATCGAGAATGCCATGTCCCTAAGCTTTAAATAGGCACGTCTGCCTTGGCTGCAGGACAGTCTCTGCTTCCTCACACAGCACTACAAAGCATTTCCTACACCATACACACATGAATTTAGCTTTAATTAAACAAATGTTTTCTTTACATTTGAGGTCTTCACAATCAAAGTACATACAGTAAGGCTTCACATAACATTGTTGATAGGCTAAAATAATGGCTATCATTGGGGGAGCATCTCGTATGGTCTTGGAGCTGTGCAGCTCCAAGTGCTCCCCATGCCCAGGTCGTCCAGGGAGCCTCCGAGTCCCCACTAAACATCTGCCTTGCACTTCTGGGTGTGTGTGCATCTATACACCTTCACATATGGCCATATATTCTGTGTGTATATAATTCCACGTAGAAGAACAGACCACTGCATTGTTAGCCTATCTTTAGCCACCTTCTAAAGCCCTCAGTTCTCAAATGATCTGGCATAGCTAGCCCACAATTTTCTCTTTTAAATAAGACAGTTCTAGGTAAGAATATAGTTTTTACACACATATATTGAATCAGCAAGAAAAATGCTGTGCCTTAAAGTGAGGGGGGAGTTTTCTGAGTTTCACATCTGGCTAATCAGAATGTTAGCATCTAAACTTGAAGCTCTTTTCTCTCACTCACTCCCACCTGCATTTGCCAGGTACTGGTCTAGGCTCTGGGAACACAGCAGTGAACCATCCAGCCTCATGGAGCCCACATTCTACCTGAAGGGAACATCAGGTTAGACAGGTTCACTGCAAACCAAACATATATCTTCCCCTTTAAAGCCCTTACTTCCCATTATTCTCAAAATTAAAATAAAATAAAATAAAGAATTCCACCCTACCCCCAAAGCCTCTATGACCTGACATCTCGCTAACCTCATGCAGACTCCACCCTCCTGGTGCTGGCATTCCCACCTGGGGACTTTGCCACATTCTACCCGAGGGAACATTGGATAGACAGGTTCTGCTGAGGCCTGAAGCAGCAGTCAGGATGCCGGTTTAGGGAGATTCTGGCCTTGGGAAGGAAGGATAACACTTCAATCTTGTGGTTAAAGATTGACCCCTGAGGATGAGGGATTTAAGTGAGACATTTAAGGTAAGAAGAAGTTGTATGGAGAACAGGCAGGAAAATGCCAAGTGCAAAGTTCCTCAGGTGGGAATGCCAGCACCAGAAGGGTGGAGTCTGCATGAGGTCAGCGAGATGTCAGGTCATAGAGGGCTTTGGGGTGGGGTGGAGTTCTTTATTTTATTTCAGAGAATAAAGGGAAGTAAGGGTTTTAAAGGGGGAGAGATTGCCGAAACCGGTTTGGCTTAATGGATAGAGCGTCGGCTTGGGGACTGAAAGGTCCCGGGTTCGATTCCGGTCAAGGGCATGTACCTTGGTTGCGGGCATATCCCTAGTAAGGGTTGTGCAAGAGGCAGCTGATCGATCGCTCTCTCTCATCGATGTTTCTAACTCTCTATCTCTCTCCCTTCCTCTCTCTACAAAATCAATAAAATATATTTTTTTAAAAAATAAAGGGGGAGAGATATATTTGGTTTGTTTTTAAAGCTGTTCCTGGAGCAGATATTGTAAGTAGACATTAATAGGACACGTGGCTGGAGGTCAGGCCTATTAGGAAGTGAGAAGATGGGCCAGGAAACCATCAGAGGAGAGTGTTACAAACCCAGGAGTCTTTCCAGGAGAAGAGAGTAGACATCTCTGCTCAGTGCAGCCAAGCAGTCAAGGGGTGACTACAGATGTATCCCTCAATGGTTAGTCCCTAACAGGATGGAGGAACTGTCAGGCAGCTCAGTTCATTTTCATAACAACCCTGTTATTGTGCCCATGTGCTCAAGACATTTATGCTATTTCTTTGGTTCAAATAACATTTAAATAAGGATCGCCGGGGAAGTTAAGTAACTTGTCAAGGGTCACCCAGCTGGAAGTGATCAGCTAGACTGTGAACCAGAGTCTCCTAAACCCAGAGCCTGGAGCTGTGTGAAAGCAGCAGGGACTGACTCCGATTCTTCCCTTTTCTAGGCTATGGTCTCCACTGCCACCGGGCCATCATCACCATCTGCCGTCTCATTGGCATCAAAGACATGTATGCCAAGGTCTCGGGGTCCATGAACATGCTCAACCTCACCCGGGGCCTCTTCTACGGGCTCTCTTCCCAGGTAACCTGCCTCGGGTCTCAAACGGAAGTTCTGGTTTGCATTTCAGTTGTGTGCATTGAGACTACCATGTCCTGGGGCCTCCTGAAGACATGGGTTTTATGCTGACTAATCAGGTAGTTCATTCGACTGAAGAATTAGATTACGCAGATTAACCTTTAAAAAATACTTAATGGGAAGTTTGAACTTTCAAAATTATTTTTTAAAGTTACTAATTAGACTCTTTTATTATGAAAAGAACACATGCTTGTTCTAAATCTCCAACAATATAGAATTAAAATAAAAAGAGAAAGTCCATTTTCTAATTTAGACCTTTCCGTTGGGACTAGTGTGAGCCTCCCAGCCCCTGCTCCACTCATGAGAGCTGTCTTAGGGGAAGCAGTGTCCATGGTCCCAGCACAGGTAGTTTTGGCAGCTGCCTGACATGTGAGGAGCCATAAACCCTAATACACTAGGCTGTCACCACACAGTTGGGAGCCCTGGGCTACTGCCACCTGCCCCCTCAGCCCGGGGGGTCATAGCCACCGTCACTGCTCCCCATTGGCAGGAAGACCTGACTACGCCTTGAAAGGGGGGTAGATCTTAGCAGAGCTGCATAAGCAGATAAGACGGCTGGGTTCAAGAGACTCCTTTCTGTGGCCTCCGTTTGTTGAGGGTTTTGACAGGCTTCCTTACAGAAAGTTTGATGGCTGTTTTTGAACAAAGTTATCTGTGAAATCATTGTAGCTCTCTCTGTTCAAAATAGGAAAATTAATGAAAAGAAAGGGCTTTGTTTAAAAGAAATACAAATAGGAATAAACTTAACCAAGGAGTTACAGGACTTGTACTCAGAAAATTATAGGACACTGAAAAAAGAGATAGAGGAAGACATAAACAAATGGAAGAATATATCATGTTCATAGATTGGTAGAATCAACATCATTAAAACGTCCATACTACCCAGAGCAATCTATAGATTCAGTGCAATCCCCATTAAAAGACCAACGGCATATTTCAAATACCTAGAACAAACTCCCCAAAATTTTATCTTGAATAAAAAGAGACCCCGAATAGCTGCAGCAGTTTTGAGAAAGAAGAACAAAGTTAAAGGAATCACACTACCAGATATCAAGCTATATTACAAAGCCACTGTTCTCAAAACTGCCTGGTACTGGCACAAGAACAGACATAGACCAACGAACAGAACAGAGAACTCAGAAATTGATCCAAGCCATTGTGCTCAATTAATATTTGAAAAAGGAGGCAAGAGCATATGATGGAGTCAAGACAGTCTCTTTTATAAATAGTGTTGGGAAAATTGGACAGATAAATGCAAAAAAATGAAACTAGACCACCAACTTACACTATATACAAAAATAAACTCAAAATGGATAAAGGACTTAAACAGATGGGAAACCATAAAAATCTTAGAAAAATCCATAGGCAGCAAAATAGCAGTCATATGTCATAGCAATATCTTTACTGATACAGTTCCTTCGGCAATGGAAACTAAGGAAAAAATAAATGGGACTACATCAAAATAAAAAGGTTCTGCACAGCAAAAGAAACCAGTTCTGCACAGCAAAAGAAACCATCAACAAAACAATAAAAAAGCCCATTTATACTTCAAATAAGAACATATTTGTCAATGTTATCTCCAATAAGGGTTCAACCTCAAAAATTTACAGGAAACTCCTACAGCTTAACAAAAGTAAGATAAATAATTCAATAAAAAAAATGGCCAAAGGAGCTAAATAGATACTTTTCAAAAGAGGACATACAGGAGGCCAAGAGACATATGAAAATATGCTCAAAGTCACTAATCATCTGAGGGATGCAAATCCAAACAACAGTGAGTAATATCTCTCACCTGTCAGGATGGCTGTCATCAACAAATGACAAAGCTAGCGAGGATGTGGAGAAAAAGAAACCGCCCTGCACTGCTGGTGGGGATGCAGACTGGGATAGCCACTGTGAAAAACAGGATGGAGTTTCCTTTAAAAATTAAAAATGGAACTTGCATTTGACCCAGTAATCCCACTTCTAGGAATATATCCCAAGAAAACAGAAATACCAGTCAGAAAAGAAATATGCATCCCTATATTCATAGCACAATTTTCACTAGCTAATATTTGGAAACAGCCTAGTACCCATCAGCAGATGAGTGGGTTAAAACACCGATACATCTACACAATGGAATACTATGCTGCTATAAAAAAGAAGGCTTTCTTACCATTTGCAACAGCATGGATGGAACTGAAAAGCATTATGCTGCTTTGGCCGGTTTGGCTCAGTGGATAGAGAGTTGGCCTGCAGACTCAAGGGTCCCAGGTTCGATTCCAATTAAGAGTATGTACCTTGGTTATGGGCACATCCCCGTGGGGGGTATGCAAGAGGCAGTATAAAGACAACATGATATTTTTTTGAAAAGAACATTATGTTAAGCAAAATAAGCCAGTCAGAGAAAGATAAATATCACCTGATCTCATTCATTTGTGGAATTAATAAACAACATAAACTGATGAACAGAAATAGATCCAGAGACATAGAGTTATCAAACAGACTGTCCAACCCTGAGGTGGTAAGAGATCAGAGGAATGGTATGCATGCATGTGAGCATAACCAATGGACACAAACAGTAGTGGGGTGAGGTCATGTGCTGGGGGGAAAAGGAGACATGTAATACTTTAAACAATTAAGAATTTAAATTAAAAGATATTTTTTGAACAGCTGTGTGTGTGTGTGTGTGTGTGTGTGTGTGTGCTATCCAAAATATCCTTCTAAAGTACTTCTAAATTTAAACTTGTTAAAGGTTTAATTATTTGATGTGACTAAGATTGTTAACTTTTTTAATATTTTTACTTATTTCAGAGAGGCAGGGAGAGGAAGAGTGAGATAGAAACATCAATGAGAGAGAATCATTGATTGGCGGCCTCCTGCACACCCCCTACTTACTGGGGATTGAGACCACAGCCCAGGCATGTGCCCTTGACTGGAATTGATCCCAAGACCCTTTAGTCCACAGGCAGACGCTCTGTCCACTGAAGCCAACCAGCTAGTCCAAGATTGGTTTTAGATAGCTCATATTTATGATCAAGTACACGGTTCACTTATATGTTTTTGCTTTATGTTAGTACTTTGAATCTTCTAATGTAACTATCCCAGATACCACCAGCTATAAAAAAAAAAGTTGCATTATTTAATGTGCTACTCAAGAGAAAAAGTGCCACCAATTTAAGTAATGTGCTATTGATTATAAGACACTGATTTAAATTAGTTTGTTTTTATGAAATAGCTCATCTCTTTTTCTAATTTCAAACATAATGTAGTATTAGAATATTTCAAGGTAGACAGAACCTGGCAACATGAGATTAAACATATCAGATACTTTAAGAAACCATGTGTAAACTATGCACTGATTTTATCTGCTTGTTTCCAGACTTTGATGGCTACCCTCTGCCATGAATTTCCTGGCACTCTCAGTCGCGCCAGCAGCACCACCTCCAGATCATTTTATTTTATCCTTAAATATGTATCTGAAAGATAAGAATTTGAAAGTACTCCACAATACTTCTTACTTTACCTAAAGAATTAACGGGAATTTACGTAGTGTTATCACACATCTCTTTGGAGCTCACAGAAATGTCCATTTAGCCGTAGCCAGTTTGGCTCAGTGGATAGAGCGGCAGAGTGAAGGGTCCCAGGTTTGATTCTGGTCAAGGGCATATACCTGGGTTGTGAACGCAATCTCCAGCAGGAGGCATGCAGGAGGCAGCCAATCAGTGATTTTCATTGATATTTCCATCTCTCTCTCTTCCTCTCCCTTTCTGAAATCAATAAAAATATATTTTAAAAAAAAGAAATATACATTTAAAAGTAATTTTTTATGCAATTTGTTTGACTGGTTGCTGATAGGTGAGTACATTCTAAGTTTTTGCTGGGCCTTTTAAGTCATTTTTAATGTGTAGGTTCCCTTCTTCCTCCTTGTATTTGGTTAGTAGAATAAACCAGGCTTGTTCATACTATGGTTTCCCAGTCTGGTGCTGACTACATGTCTGCATGTGGATCCTCCACATTTTCTTTCCCTTTGTGTCCCGTGAATTGGGAACTAGACTGGGGCTTGATGAGATTCAGATTGATTTTGGGTACAGCCTGTCACACGGTTGGCAAGGCTTCAAAGGACAACGCCTTCCCTCTGTCCACATTGTGGGCAGGAAGGTGAGGATGAGATTATTCCACCTACAACAGGTCAGCCCAGAATCACCTGAAAGGGTAGTTAAGTCCTAAGTGGTACAGTGTTGTCACTGCCAACTTCCCTTTGGCTGAAGGCAGTTCCTGCTCTTTGAATTACCGATGTGCCTCACAGACCTAACTAGTCTTTGCTCGGTCTTGCCCAGGAGACCCACCAGCAGCTGGCTGATAAAAAGAGTCTCCACGTTGTGGAGTTCCGGGAGGAATGCGGCCCTCTGCCCATCGTGGTCGCCTCGCCCCAGGGAGCCGTGAGAAAGGATCCGGAGCCGGAAGATGAGGTTCCCGACACCAAACTGGACTGGGAGGATGTGAAGATAGCCCAGGGGATGAAGCGCTCTGTGTGGTCAGGTTTAAAGAGAGCTGCCACCTGAGTTGCCCGTGGCCTCATCCGCCCGTGGGCCAGGTCAGCACCCGGAGGAGACTCCGCTCTCACACCTGGGAACATCATGGCTTTTCTTGTTTGTTTTGTTTTAAGAAGAAAGACCAACCTCAAGTTCTTTATTTACAAATAATAAATAATTATAGTTTTAACATATTGAGCATGTGATATGTATTAGTCACTGTGTTAGGAACTTTGCATAATATCCTGTTCAAGACTATTTTTTAAGACTATTTTATTTTATTTTATTTTTTAATATATTTTATTGATTTTTTTTTTTTTGCCCCCCTCCCTCCCTCCCACACATACCCTGCCTCCCAAGAGTTTTATGTCCATTGGTTGTTGTACTTATATGCATGTATACAAGTCCTTCGGTTGATCTATTATCTCCTCCAGATCTTCCTCCCCTCTCTGCTGTAATTTGACAGTCTGCTTGTTGCTTTACTGTCTCTATATCTATCTTTTGGTTCATCAGTTTATAATGTTCTTTATTATCCATAAATGAGTGAGGTCATGTGGTGTTTCTCTTTCATTGATTGGCTTATTTCACTCAGCATGATGTTCTCCAATTCCATCCAGGTTGCTGCAAATGATGAGAATTCCTTCTTTTTTATGGCAGCATAGTATTCCATTGTGTAGATGTACCAAAGTTTTTGGATCCAATCATCTGCTGACGGGCACCTAGGCTGTTTCCAAATTCTGGCTATTGTAGATTGTGCTGCTATGAACATAGGGGTGCATATACCCTTTCTGATTGGTGTTTCTAGTTTATTGGAATATATTCCTAGAAGTGGGATTACTGGGTCAAATGGGAGTTCCATTTTCAGTGTTTTGAGGAAACTCCACACTGTTCTCCACAGTGGTTGCACCAGTCTGCATTCCCACCAGCAGTGCACGAGGGTTCCTTTTTCTCCACAACCTCGCCAACATTTGTCATTTATTGATTTGTTGATGTTGGCCATTCTGACAGGTGTGAGATGGTACCGCATTGTTGTTTTGATTTGCACCTCTCGGACAATTAGTGACTTTGAACATGTTTTCATGTGCCTTTTGGCCTTCCTTCTGTCTTCTTTTGAAAATATTCTTTTTAGATTTCTTGCCCATTTTTTTAATTGGATCATTCATCTTCCTTTTATTTAGTTGTATAAGGTGTCTGTAAATGTTGGAGATTAAGCCTTTATCAGTGGTATTATTTGCAAATATGTTCTCCCACACCGTGGGCTTTCTTGTTGTTTTGTTGATGGTTTCTTTTGCTGTAAAAAAGCTTTTTATTTTGATGTAGTCCCATTTGTTTATTTTCTCTTTAGCTTCCATTGCCCTAGGGGCAGTGTCAATGAAGAAGTTCTTTTGGCATACGTCTGAGATTTTGCTACCTGTGGATGCTTCTAGTATTTTTATGGTTTCCCGTCTGATGTTTAAGTCCTGTATCCATTTTGAGTTTATTTTTGTGAATGGTGTAAGTTGGTGATCTAGTTTCATTCTTTTGCATGTGTCTGCCCAATTTTCCCAACACCATTTATTGAAGAAACTGTCTTGACTCCATTGTATATTCGTGCCTCCTTTGTCAAATATTAATTGAGCATAGTGATTTGGGTTGATATCTGGGTTCTCTATTCTATTCCATTGATCAATATGTCTGTTCTTGTGCCAGTACCAGGCTGTTTTGAGAACAGTGGCTTTGTAATATAGTTTGAAGTCTGGTATTGAGATCCCTCCTACTCTACTCTTCTTTCTCAGGATTGCTGTGGCTATTCGGGGTCTTTTATTGTTCCAAATGAACTTTTGGAGAGTTTTTTCTAGGTCAGTGAAATATGTCATTGGTATTTTAATGGGGAGTGCATTGAACCTATAGATTGCTTTAAAAAGTATGGACATTTTGATGATGTTGATTCTACCAATCCATGAACATGGTATGTTCTTCCATCTCTTTACATCTTCCTCTATCTCTTTTTTCAGTGTCGTGTAGTTTTCCGCATATAGGTCCTTTACTTCCTTAGTTAAATTTATTCCTAGGTATCTTAATTTTTTTGGTGCGATGGTAAATGGAATTGCTTTTTTAGTCTCTGTTTCTGTAATTTCACTGTTGGTGTATAGAAATACCATGGATTTCTTGGCATTAATTTTGTATCCTGCTACATTGCCAAATTCATTTATTAAGTCAATTAGTTTTTTAATGGAGTCTTTTGGGTTTTTTATGTACAGTATCATGTCATCTGCAAATAAGGATAACTTTACTTCTTCTTTTCCAATTTGGATGCCTTTTATTTCCTCCTCTTGTCTAATTGCAATGGCTAGTACTTCCAGTACTATGTCAAACAGGAGTGGCAAGAGTGGGCATCCCTGTCTTGTTCCTGTTCTTAGAGGGAATGGTTTTAGTTTTTGCCCATTGAGTATAATGTTGGCTGTGGGTTTATCATATATAGCTTTTATTATGTTGAGGTATGATCCTTGTACTCCCACCTTGTTAAGAGTTTTTATCAGGAAAGGGTGTTGGATTTTATCAAATGCTTTTTCTGCATCATCTGATATGACTATATGATTTTTATCTTTCCATTTTTTTATGTGATGTATCACGTTTATTGGTTTGCGGATATTGTACCATCCTTGCATTCCTGGAATAAATCCTACTTGGTCATGGTGTATGATCTTTGTGATGTTCTTCTGGAGTCGATTTGCTAGAATTTTGTTGAGGATTTTGGCATTTATGTTCATGAGGGATATTAGCCTGTAATTCTCTTTCATTGAGTTGTCTTTATCTGGTTTTGGTATTAGGGTGATGCTGGCTTCATAGAAGGAATTTGGAAGTATTCCTTCCTCTTGGATTTTTTGGAATAGTCTGAGGAGGATAGGTTTTAGTTCTTACTTGAATGTTTGGTAAAACTCTCCTGTGAAGCCATCTGGCCCTGGGCTTTTGTTTGCTGGAAGCTTTTTGATGACTGTTTCAATTTCTTCCCAAGTCACTGGTCTATTGAGATTTTTAGATTCTTCCTGATTGAGTTTTGGCAGTTTGTATTTTTCTAGGAATATGTCCATTTCCTCCAGGTTGTTCAGTTTGTTGGAATAGAGTTGTTCGTAGTATTTTGTAACAATCCGTTGTATTTCGGTGGGGTCTGTTGTTATTTCACCTCTTTCATTTCTGATTTTGTTTATTTGGGTCCTCTCTCTTTGTTTCTTGGTTAGCCTGGCTAGAGGTCCATCTATCTTGTTTATCCTTTCAAAGAACCAGCTCTTGGTTTTGTTGATCTTATGTATTGTTTCTTTGGTCTCTATGTCGTTTATCTATGCTCTGATTTTTGTTATTTCCTTCCTTCTGCTTACACTGGGCTTTTCTTGTTGCTCTTTTTCTAGCTCTTTGAGTTGTAGAGTTAGATCATCTGTTACCATTTTTTCTAGTTTTTTGCAATAGGCTTGTAAGGATATGAACTTCCCTCTCAAAACTGCTTTTGCTGTGTCCCATAGATTTTGGATTGTTGTGTTTTCATTGTTAAGACTATTTTAAATATTCATGTATACTATAACCATAATGAATTAGGCAGATGGTCAGACCCAATCAGAAATAATGTGCAATCAAGTGGTAATGACTAGTCACACAACTCGGAGGTAGAGGAAAGTGGGCAAGCCTTGTTCTTTTTTACTTTTTTTACTTTTATTAAACCTCTTTGAATAGATATTTCAGTGATTGCCCTAGGTCAGGGGTCTGCAACCTTTAAGACATAAAGAGCCACTTGGACCCGTTTCCGAAGGAAAAAAAAACCTGGGAGCCGCAAAACCATTGCGACATTTAAAACAAATATAACACTGCATATATTGTTTCTTACCTTAATACTATATACCAGATCATGCAGTTAGCTGTCAATCTGAAGAAAAAAAGGACTTTTTCACTTAACAATGTAAAATATATTTTTGCAAATTAATAGCTAATTAAAATATTTAATTTACCTGGTTAATGGGATTTTTGCTCCTGAACCTCAGTGCACAGTGTCAGCACATCAGGGATATAAGATGTTACCTTCATTTTCACACAGGCTTGCAAGTTGTCGGAGCCGCGGTAAAGCTTCAAAAGAGCCGCATGTGGCTCTGGAGCCGTAGGTTGCTGACACCTGCCCTAGGTAATGCATTATGCATACATCGCTTATTACCAGTGTACTGATGTTGCCTTTTTACCAGCCAAGTGACACATAGACCTTACCTCCCTTTAAATCTCTTCAACCTCCCCATTTCTAATTGTTTTAAAATTTTTCTTTTAGGACATTGAAAACCACATTCGCGCTATTCTTTCTGCTTCCAGCGGCAAACATAACAGAGAAAGCTCAAGGAAACAAACAAATTCTATCTCATTTACCCATAGTTTTACTCTCTCAATTGCTCTTTTTTCCTGATATTCCAAGAGTCCATTAATCGTTTTGAGTAGGAAAAAAACAGTTCTGTGTTTCTCCTTTACCATCACTGCTACCTTATATACACCTGACACCAGATGGGGGCAGATTTCTCCCTCACTAAGCAGTTGTCTGCAACACCAGGAGGGTGTCCTATTAAACCTCTTTGAATAGATATTTCAGTGATTGCTTAATTCTGACACTCTGCCTGGAGACAGCGTCAGATTCCACAGGTTAAAGGTTCAGACGCACAAGACTGCCATCCTCCATTTCAGATGCCAAACCTATGATGGGTTGTCACCTGTGCTTCCAACTGACCAGCTGTGAATAAAAAGATCCCACGATCGTCTCATTGGGATCCATTGATTTGCTGGAACTATCACAGAACTTGGGGAACAGTTTACTTAACTTTACCACTTTATTATAAAAGGATGCGATGAGACACAGATGAGCATCCAGAGGGAAGATGGGAGAAGCATGTGGGAAGGGTGTGGAGCTTCCATGCCCACTGGGGGCGCCCCTCTTCCTACACCTCCCCATGCTCACCAACCAGGAAGGAAGCTCTCCAGACCCCATGCATTTGGAGGCTTTCTCTCATAGGCACCATTGATCAATC